GGGGGGGGGGGAAGTAATAGTTTCTGGGTCTTGAATAAAAAATTAATCTAATTTTGTCGAAGTGCTTCATGTAAATAGATGAATTATAAGCATTATGACAAAAAATGATGAAGTACAAAATTCATAAGGTATTACAGGCTACATGATTATAATTTATCTGGACAGTGATACAAAACTCATGACATCATGATGTCTTAATCACACACAAAAACCCTAATATATTACTGCTTAATAAGTAAACAATAGATTCAAAATATTTCAAATTATAACAACTTGGCTATGAACATAGCCAAACATAAATAAGAGCAAAGTGTGTGTTTGTGTTATATAATTTCAGCTAACGAGAAATATTTCTGAATTAGCTAACTTTTTCAGTACTTATTTTTGGCATTCAGTGGTATTTTAATTATTTCCCCCTCAACTATACTCTAAGCAACTAAAAGTAAGATCAACTTAAAAGGGATTTGGAGTTGGGCGTTTAGAGAGTGAGTTCTTGAATATCTTCTCTGTCTCTATATTACTTTTGCTAATAAGTTGAATAATTAAACACTAACAATAAGCTAAAATAAATACGAAATATTGCAGCATTATATAAAATATAAATAATATGTTAGTAACATAAAATGTTAAGCATGCATTCTTTTCTGTTTTATATTTTGTAATCTAAATCCAAAGAATGTGAATATATCATATTTACTGAGGTAAATATGATCAGAATTACACTTGATAAAATATGTATTTTCCTCACTGATCTAAACATGCTCTGATATTTGTATTGGCAGCTCTACTAGCATCTTTCTTCATGCCTTGTCCTTACTCTGTGTGTTGTAAATAAATACCAATTTTATATGCAACATTGCCTATAAAAGATTATGTTGGAAAGCACAAGAGAAAAGATGCTTGATTTCAAATACACACTAATTTTTAGCATTTATAAAGAATCACATTTCAATAAAATTATATTTATCTAATATTTTATTTGCTTTATATTTTGTTACCTGATTTGTATTTTCTGTCATCATGTATGAGCTGCAAACTAAGAACAAAAAAAAATTAAACTCCCCTAAGAAACTGTGTTCTCACCCCAGTAACTCTTCCACACTTCAAATGACTCAAATCATTGGTTGGAATAATGAATTTCAGATCGCAGAGCACTTTATTCGGTAGCTTGGGCGATTTAGAAAGCTTTTATGTGGATGAGCACGTTGCCTGCTTCTCTGTGATCTGATTAGTTCTCAGTCATATGGAAGATGGAACCATTCTAAAATTAGGTAACTTCTTATTTAGAGAAATGCAGTGCAGTCAGTGGAATAAAAAACTGATGGTCTCTGAAACTTTAACTTTGTCTTAGAATCTGTATTTAAATACTTGCATGTTTCAGGAGATATTCCACCAGTATATCTCAATACCCTTATGGACTGACTGTCTCTAAAGAGTGAAATAATTAAAACATCTAATAAATGGGAATTAAAGAGGTATTTGCACATGGTAATATGATGGAGCGAGCATATCGAGTCACTCACTAAGTCAGAGTCTGTATATTCTTAGCAGTGCCCCGGTTCAAGGGTCTTGTTTTACAAATTGGAAGGTCCGGAGTTGAGAAGTGATTTTCCTAAATAACCACTGGTTATGCCAGAGATGCTGCCTTCTGGGTTTCAGCCTAGAGTCCTTTTCACTCTACCTAAATATATTTCCTTATATTTTCAACTTAAAGTCGTTCTTTTCTGCTTATGAATATCTCATATAATGAAAATGCTAACATTTAAGTGAAGTAAAAGCTGGCATTGTCATTTTTACAGGATTTTACATTTCCACCCCAACTGGACCAGGAGGGAGGCGAGAAAGAGTGGGACTTTTAAGTCTGCCTTTGAACCCCACATTGGAACCAGTCTGCCTTAGTTTCTGGTACGTTGTAGGCCCATGTTAAGTGCCATATTATTGAATGAGTAGCATCACCTTTCTCAGTTGCCAAGCTCACATTTCGCTAAGATGTTATCCCAAGTTTTAATGAATTTTCCATTAACTTTGCAATTGATAAAGAAAGAAAATGTTGGGAGACTCTCCACCCCATCGCCACCAACTCCTTCATCCAAAGGAAAAGGGGGTACCTCACAGACAATTAAGGACTTAGAAGAAGCCATAAATGCCTTTATTCTAATGTTGTAGGAATCCAATCCCTTTTTGCTTGTTTCTAAACTAGGTATCACATGTATGGTGAAAATGTCTATAAATTAAGCATTAATATCAGCAACGAACAGAACATGGAGAAGATAATTTTCCAAAAGGAAGGAAATTATGGACAAAATTGGAATTATGGACAAGTAACGATAAATGAAACAGGGGAATTTAAGGTTGGCAAAGTACTTTGTTTTAAAATCATTTATTTGTATTCTAAAAGTGGCAATACAAGTATAGTTTATGGTAATGTGATGAAAGAAAATTATTTATTTTCTGAATACAGCCAATTCTCTACTTTCATAACCTACCTTCTGTTTTTAATCTTTGAGTGCCTCTATTTTTATTCACTGACTTATTAAAAACCACTTATTGAGAAATGATTGACCTCAGGATAGTACTACTTATAAAGAGCCATAGTATCTGCAGATACCTTGTAGGATATTTCAGCTTTTTTCAGCAACTTTCTAGCACAAGCTAACTGCGCCCTCCTATGCCCCTGCCTAACTAGGACTTCCAACCTTTTACAAGTACCACCCAGATCAGCCCTCCACTTTTCCAGGGTGTATCTTTGCCTATTAGCACATCCACACCCGCCAGTATCCATCCACCCTGCCTCACCCTGACTTAATCTCCATTTCCTTTAAAAACAAATCCTATGAGCTGTATCACTGGGAAACTTCCAATCACTTATTTCACATTAGGGTGAGTTAATTTTTCAGATAACAGCTTAATGTGTTCTCTTCCTAAGGGTGTTTGCAATTAAAATATGGGGTAATATAGGCTAATAGTTTGACCAAATTAGCAATGTTTTAATTGGGTAACTTCAAGACCAGAGAGTGTAACTTTCAGAAGATGTATTTTTGGATCCACTTTGTCATCAGAAGGCTTCAGTTTTTCCTGTGACCTCGTGTAAGGCAGCCAATAATCACCGACCCTCATCTTCATTCCTCTCTTCTTTTTTTCTTTGGATTCTGTTCTTTCATTCTGAGAAGTCCTTTTATCTCCACCTTTGGTTGTTTTCTGAGAGTTCAAGGAAGGGTAAAGGAAACGGAGCCTCAAGGGAACACCGAGCTTGGAGAAGCAGGGACATAAGTACTGCGGTGGCCAACTCTGATTCAACTCACTGAACACATTTTTTTAAGTAATAAAACTGGAGCAACTTTTGCAAAGTTAGCTCATCAAGCAGGATGACAGCGTGAAATTCTATAAATGTTTTCACCTTGGTTTTGCCACTTTGTTGTGAAATCTTGAGCAAATCACATAAGTTTCTTTGAAATTTAGGTTGCACGTACACGAAAGGGAAAAAATCATCTCTATTTGGAATGGTGCCTGCCGCGAAGTAGGTGCAATGAATGAGCAAATGAGTGAATAGATGACTGTGTAGTAATGTTGGAAAAATTAAATGAGATAAAGTATGTGCCTAGCATAGCAATTAGCATATAACAGGTATTCAGTTTCTGTCTTTTCTCTACAACACGGGAGAGGATTCAAGAAAGTCCAGCTAAAAATAGCCACTGTCCTTAAGATCCTAATATGTTTCATGTGACCCCTGACCTTTCTCCCAAGTCCGGGTCTGTGTCCTCTGGGCATCACACTCACACAGTATCTCACCCAGCTTTCTGCGTAAACTATAACCAGTACCAGGTGGCCCTAAATGATCAAACTGTACTCATAGTTTCGCCTGTCCCCTTTTCTCCAATTTAAATGATCAAATCAGTGTATCTTCGTTTTAGGGCTTATGTGCTCTGAGAAAGCAAACAGCTAGCTACTTGGATTTCTAATATCGTTGGGAGAAGAATCGGAGAAGTTTGCTCTCCCCTGCTAGGTGTATGCAAGACAGAGAACAATGGGGTCTGACAGCATTGTGAGAGAGGCAGAGACAGAGAGAAGCGGTGGCGACACCGCCTCACTCAGAAGGAGGGCGCTGTTGGAAATTCAGATTATATGAGCAGAACAAAGTAGCTGGTTTCAGCAGAAGGGCCTTGAGAAGCACGATCCGTCAGTGTTTCCCTGTGCAGAAACCTGTCCTCGGATATTTGGAGATGGCAGTATTGGTTCTGCAGACACTATTGGGCCACAGGGAGAGTCAGGTCAGAGAATATGTGAGTGGAATCATTTCATTCTCTGAATTACAGGTTTCTTTTAATGCTTTTAAAAACAAGCTCCTGAGTGACATAGCGTTGGATGACATTAGCCTAACATATGGGATTTGCAATGAGAGTCTTTCTCCAGAACCAACTTTGGTCCCAACTCCTCCACCAGAACTTCCTAGTAAGTAACCTTAACATGCCTTTTCTCTAATTAAGTTATTAATATTTTCAAGTAGATCTTTCTTTGGCTTATTTTTTTTTTATATCTTGACCTAGTGTTTTTTCACTGGAAATCAAAGACTTTAAAATATAAGTAAAATAGAAGGCAGCAAGACAGTGCATGTTATACACATAAACCCATAATTAAAACCACTCAGTACACTTTTATGTATCACAGGCATGATCATTTTGATACCTTTTCATTTTTGAAAATAACGAGAGTGCTCATTTCCATTCTTTTTTCACCGGAATACAAGCTAACCCTCTATTGTCCCTGCAGCACGTAGCATGGCCTATAGGCTTTTGGGAACAAGCTTTAAGATGTTTATAGCCTTCTTAAGCAGTGATGTTAAGATCTCAAAAAGAGTTTCGTTCAGCCTGAAACCCAGCAAGCCCATGTCCAGAATACTTCAATAATAGTGAGTGGGCCTGGACTTTGAATATGTAGGCCTAGGTCAACACAAAAGACTTGGGTCTTGAAACGGTGACCCTGTGAAGCCTTGCACCTCGCTTCCTCCGCGGAGCCACTGCTGTGTTGCAGTTGAGCAGTTGGCCAGGCTTCTGGGTGTCCTATGGGATCTTTTAACTCAAAAGAATGAAGTGGAGCCTGTGTCTACCGTTGCTCTTAAGTCGAATCGGAAACACAACATTTCAAAGGCAAAGGGACATCGCTGTTCATCTTATCCATGTCAAAGCAGACAATGACTTCATATCACTGTCAGAATATGAGATTCAACAGCAAAAAGAAACCTACAATGATAAATGAAATCAAACACCCATTGTTCCTTTATTGGGATGTTTTCACGGCACTGCAGTTTTAATGCAGAAGCTTCCCTTTTGTGTTCGGAGTATGGTGTTGGAGCTGATCTGGCTCCACAGCTTTGCTCCGTGAGGCCGTATGTATGTTTCTGTTCTGCTGCGGAGCTGAGCTCATAACCAGCACTTGCTCCAGTTCTCGTTTCCTTCCCAGCACACTTGAAACTCTTCCCATATTCACATCAGCAAATCAATTTGGCAAAACTGTCCGAATTTGGGTTTACTTCCAAAACTCTATATTTTCCTACTCTCCAATCTTTAAGTTAAAAATAAATTAAGACTTTTTATTTATTTAAATATATCTTTATGGATTTCAGAGAGAGGAAAGGAGAGAGATAGAAACATCCATGATGAGAGAGTCATTGATGGGCTGCCTCCTGCATGCCCCCGACTGGGCATCGAGCCCGCAACCCGGGCATGTGCCCCAACCGGGAATCGAACCCTGATGGCCTAGATCCTAGATCAACGCTTAACCGCTGAGCCACACCTGCCGGGCTGAATTAGATTTTTTAGATGAGTGGTGTTAACAACTCAGAAGCTCTGACGGTCACTGAGTGGTGTTTGAGACCATGTAACAGATGAGCTGCTGTTAGGGTTAGGATAGTATTTACATTTTCATACTGGTCTCATGAGACCATATTGAAAGTGCACTTACATCCCACCAAAAGGCTGATTTACAATTACTCTCTTGTGTATTAACATGTTTAGATGCTTATAGGGGTGATACATAAATTCCTTAATGTTTCAAACATTCATTCTAGTTTTATAAATATCTGCTACGTACAAAGTACCTCATAAGAAATGTAAGACGTAACAATAACCACTGCTACATGAAAAAAAGTAAACATAATTCATATAAATAAATATTAAAAGCAATATATAATTATGTGCCCCTAAAAGTAATAAATGAGGGAGGTAAGCAATAGAGGACTTTGGAGAAGAGAGTGTGACTGGAGAAGGCTTTAAAGAAGTATTAAGATTAAGACATGGGATGACACAACATTGAAGCAAAAGCAGGAAAGTACATTGTATTCTCATTGAACAACATGGGCCACAAACCTGTGGTAAGAGGTGAATCTCTTGACACCAAACACTAGGTCTAGTTCACCTTTGCTTCCTGAGTGACTGGTTCTTAATATTAAATAGATTATGAATAATAGCATTAAATTGCATTATATGTGAAGAAAGTATCTCTCTCTCTATTTTGTCTGTATTTTTCTCTTGGTGGCACAAACATTTTTGCCAAACAAAAGTTTGATACAAGAACTAAAGCTTGGAAATGATGGTGGGGATGGGAGTGGAGAAAATATCAGCATGAGCACAATAATTTGAGCTTTGTGGCACTGTTTTAAAATTGTCTCATTTTCTTTTGTGTGGTGCCTCACACCCTGCCTGCCTAATATCTAAAACATTTTCATGCAGAACCTAAAAGCAAATTATAATTATTAAAATCCCTCTTGGTTTGATGAATAACTCCTATGGATACCAAGTATTAGCAATATCTTGTTATTTTGATACTAGATTCATTTAAAACAATGTTTCCTCGGCAATCCTTTCTGCCAGCATGTTCTAGTCATCAGTAAGTGGCCAAGAAGAAAAAAATGTTTAGGTGGCAGTAACATAGTTATAGGTTTGGTATTTGAAAAGTAACAAACCTTATTACCTAAAATAGAAAATTGAAGATCATTTTTGTACATAATATTATACATATAAATAAAACTTTAAATATTATTTTCCATTTTAAAATTTATCTATATAATTCATACAATCCTCATATCTATTCCAGTCAGAAAGAGAGATAATACTACAGTGTCAAGGAAGTATGAAATACCTGCATATTTTAATAACAGGGACCGCAGAATAGCCCATCTGATTTCAATATATAAACTTCAGAATTTTCCCAGAGCGTACTTGTTCCAGTTTCCAAATGGTTCACTTCAGGGCAATATTTAGCACAGCAGAAAATGTTAATTACCATCAAATGCATTCTGAACAATTTCATTCTAATGCCGTTTGCAGTTGGTTCAGTGAAATTCTTATTTGAGCAGAGCTTTCCTGGTTCCAGATCACTGGTTTGTTTAAGCAGAAATAAAAGGAAACCTTGGCTCACTGGCTAATAGCCTTTCTTGAGCTTGTATTGTGCATTTAAATAAGAAAGTAGTTCTAGACAAGTAACCCAGGAGAAAAGATCAGGTTCCTCCCTTGTCCCTAGGGATCTGTGTTATGCCTAGTTTGGGGACATGTAAGTTCAGTTTTCATGACTACAGGACTTCTGTTTAGTTTCTTTAGTCACTCGACAATCGTTCCCTGTGACACTGGCACAAATAATTTAAATGCAGGGATTGTATTGAGAACACTTTAAAAAGTAAACACTTTATTACATAAGTACTATGCCAATTTGCAGCACAATTGTAATGATTTGTGACGAGACACCTACTAAATAGAATAGGTATTTCTACAGTTTTGCTCTAGTTGGCCATTATTAAGCCATTTTTCCATCTCCAAAGACAAAATAAAAGTTAATTCATCGCCCGGCCAGGTGTGGCTCAGCGGTTGAGCGTCGACCTAAGATCCAGGAGATCGGGGTTCGATTCCCAGTCAGGGCACATGCCCGGGTTGCGGGCTCCATCAATGACCCTCTCATCATTGGTGTTTCTATCTCTCTCTCCCTCTCCTTTCCTCTCTCTGAAATCAATAAAGATATATTTTTTAAAAATAATAAAAAATAAAAAATAAAAGTTAATTTATAAAGTTTCATAGGCATGACATTATACTTAGAGCTAAATAATCTAACTTTAGTCCTTCATGTGGAAATGAATCGGCACCTATCTCCCTCTTGTAACTGATGGCCATATTCCAACAGAACCGCTTGCCTTTTATATTATTAGTGTGACTTGATATTCAAACCCCTAGCAAATAACATTGTTTACTCATACACTTCAGTATAAATGTGTTTTTGGCTACTTTATTTTTTTATTCTTTTACTTTTGAAACTAATAGCCTACTTATTAGAGCTATCATCGGCTACATTGCTATCACAAATACAATGTAAACCACGAGGAATGAACATTTGAACTTTACTGTCATACATTTAATACAAATACTACCATCATGGCTGGGTACTATAATCTGTTATTAGAAATATAAATTTTTATAAACAGAGCACAAATTTTGATAAGAGATTTTATATTGCAACCTAAACTTCCACAATGTTTTCTGCAGTACTGTATGATTGTGTGTTACTGTGATAATGATGATAATGATGTTTGTTTTACCAAACGTCTTTAATTTGAAACTTCTTGTAAATGAGAGCTGGACTCTCCTCCTTTTCACTTCATAGGAAATGTCTCCACATTGACACGTACCTCATAGAGGTCACAGGCCCCTCCTGGCATAGTAAGAAATTAATCGGAAGGCAAATCTTTGAGAACAGCTCCAAGAAAGGGAAAAAAATGAAAGTTTAATAACTAAATGAATGGAGTTCCCTGCACCAGACAGGCTGTTTGACTGGCTTTGTCTGGGTGGAGACGGTTTATCTGATAGCACAGCATGACTGCGACACCCGGAATCACATTTCATGAGTCGCTGGCTCCTCTAGGAAGAAGCGCATGCTGCATTCCCACTATAGCAACCCCACCATTAAAATAAATCGTGTCATCAGATGTAGAATGGCTGAAAGAGCTTTTGTCATTCCTTACAGCCATTTGTATTCAGAGTAACTGATATTTCTTATCAAGTCAGAGATCAGAGATCTATCTCCCTGGTTAGTTATTTGATATCAAGTTATACTTGAAATGCATTTCCAGAAAGAGTGAATTTTCCAAGACTTCTGTTTGGTGGAGAAATGCTATGTAAACTGCCTGCCTTGACAGGCTTAACAGTTACACTTGACAACATTTGGGTTCTGGTTGTATGTTTATTGAAGACCCACCTACACATCTACCTGTAATGTACTATTAAGTGTTTACTTATGTAAAAATTCAATACATTCTCTAAAATGTCAGCTAGTAGGAGTAGCTGATTTTGAAATTTTTCTATACCTTGAAGAGAGAATGAGAATAATCATTAAAAATCAGCAACAGCAACAACAGCAAAGAAGACAAAAACCTCACTGGCCACACTCGTGAGCTGGGAAAAGCTGGTTTTCCTGTCTTCAATCTGCAATGTCCTTTTGTCCCTGCACCTACAGTCTCTTCTCCCTGTTTCACTGAAGATTGAAGGACACATTCGTGGCTCCTAGAATTATTAAAATTAAATGGGAGGAAAGCAGTTGTGGCAGATTCTTCTACAGAAACCTTTGCAAGACAATTAGTCACAAAATCAAGGGGAGGAACAGCTGCTGTGGGAGCGTGAGAGCCCCTCAGCCTCCCTCTCGCCTTTTCCAGGGGACAACCTGCTCCTACTCCCATTATCACTCGTCTATGTCTCAAATAGCTCCTTCAGCGACCTGCGTACAGGGCTTTCCTCCCTCCCGATCTATCCACGATCGACCTTGTTGGTGGTGCTTTCTTTCACGTTCCCTTCGCCCCTCCTTCTCGCTGTCTGTACCCATCAAGAGTATGTCAGATACCCATCAAGTGCCACTACTCAGGCTCATTCTAAACCCTACCTGTGGCTTGGACCAGATGGTCAAAATGATTCCGGGTTTAATCAGCCCAATAGGAGATAGCAGCATGCTGTGGGATAAGCCTGTGATTAACTGAGTTGAAGTTTTGACTTTGACACTAAGCAAAAGTACACAGCGTTAGCAAGTAACTGAATACCTACAATGCTCAGATCGTCCACTTAAAATAGAAATAATATTAGTAGTTCCCTAATCCACAAGTATGCATTGGAAACCACTACTGAATGTGCCAGGTACTGTGTAGGCAATCGTCATAAATTATGTCTGATTTTTACAATAACCTTGAATATCTCTAATGTATATCTTTTTTATATATGAGAAACCCAAGTCTCAAGCAGACAAGTAACTGATGCAGAGGGACAGTTTTAACCCACCAGCTCTAACAAACCTTCCTTTTATGCACATGTTCTTTCCCCAAGTGAGGTAATGTTCATGGAAACACTCAAGGTTTTTAAGAGGTTTTATTATTCTTACTAAGCTCACCTGGGTCCAGACAAGCCTGGCCCACGAGGGCATATAAGGTAAACCAGGCCCTGCCTCCCTGCAGAATAAGATAGTTTGGCAATAATGCTACTCTCAAGCCACGTAACTGCCTCTCTGTCCCATCAGATACATCGTGAACCCAAATCTAAGAGGTTTATTATATACGTATTTGGAAGATGCACATGACTTTCCCAGGATCCACATAAATAAGGCAGATGAGTTGTAAAAGAGAGAAAAAGAAGAGGGTATGGCCAAGGCACTGCCATAGGTGCAGAGATACTTAATTATTCCCCTGTCATCTGATTTCTGTCTTATTGGGAGTAAATAATTCCAGTGGAGAGCCTGCTTTAGTAATTGGGAAAATATATACTTATCCCAGTTTTCTGTATTCTTCAAATTAGGTTCTTTGATTCTTTTGATTTTAAATGTCACATGATAATAAAAATGAGAATTGGGATACCAAAGGTAGTTTATGAGTTTTACATTACTTTAGAATTTTCTTCTAATAAGCACGAAGATAACCATATAAAGTATGCTAAGATCTTCACAAATTTAATCGACCTACTTAAAGCATCATACTTTTAACCGGAAATCTGTGCTCTACTTTGTTAATAAATTTGCATTAAGCTCAGTCCTAACTTGTCCCCTGGACCGTGTTGGATAGCAGGTCACTCTACGGCAATTATTAAGCAAGTGGAATTTCCATTTATCTCCCTTCCTGACAGTCAAATGCCTCAATAGACAGGATGGCGAAGATTCCCCTCTAACAAACAAAAGGGGGGAAGCAAGAAATGGCAAAATTAGCAATTCACTAGCCTTTCTCTTAAGAGAGTGGCAGATATAAAATTTGTTCTATTGTAATACTTTTTTTTACTACAGAGGGTTAATACCTTACTCATGCAGCCTGTTATAAAAGGTGTTCAGCAAAAATGGTGTCCCTTGCCCAAATAATTTTGGAAAATGCTGCACACTATTAATCCCTCTTAGAAATTCACAAAGAACAGTGGAATAGTTAAGGTCTTGAGACATTTGTCAGCAAGGAGACCTATTTACCTGTATTTTTCCTTTCCTTAAGTTGCAAGATTTTCCTACCCACAAGTTCTAAAACTTATCTGTCAAAACCAAGAAATGCGATTGGAAAACTTCTAGCAAATAGTAGTTCTGAAATAGGCATTACATTACTAATGATTTTTCACTATTTTCCTTTTCAGCGGACTGTGGAGGACCTTTTGAACTGTGGGAGCCAAATACAACATTTACTTCTATGAACTTTCCAAACAACTACCCTAACCTGGCTTTCTGTGAGTCATTTCTTTCCCAGGCCATGAGAAACTATTGTATATATCAAAGTTTCCCCTTGACACAGAAATGTAGATTGTAAATTTGTTATATTTGGATACATCTAGCACATTTATGAGGTTGCTTAATATAATGATAATAAGAATAACAATGATAAACTGCTAGCTTAAGCAATTATTTCAGGCCAGGCACGGTTTTAGTGCTTGATATACATTATCATTTTTTATATATTTTTATCAATTTCAGAGAGAAGGAGGGAGAGGGAGAGAGAGAGAGAAACATCAATGATGAGAGAGTCATTGATCAGCTGCCTCCTGCACGCCCCTCGCTGGGGATTGAGCCCAAAATCCAGGCATGTGCCCTGACCGGGAATGGAATCATGATCTCCTGGATCATAAGTTGATGCTCAGCTGCTGAGCCACGCCAGCTGGACTTCATATATATTATTTTAGTCAATTCTCACAATAATTCTTTGAAGCAGGTGCTATTGTTATAATTCTCAAATTTAAAGGTTGCATAAATCAGTAAGTGAGAGAGTCAACCTTACCTCAGACACCACTCCCTCTTCTTCTTTTTTAAAGAATAGTTCATTGATTTTTTAGAGAGAGAAGGGAGAGAGAGAGAAACATCGATGGGAGAGTGCAACATCACTCGGCTGCCTCCTGCACAACCCCACCGGGGACTGAGCCAGCAACCTGGGCATGTGCCCTTGACCAGGAATCGAACCGGCAACCTCCTGGAGCCCAGAATGATTCCAAACCAACTGAGCCAGACCAGCCAGGCCCACACATCCCTTTCTTAATTGCTCTCTTTGATTATACATAAAATGCCCATGGTGTATATAACAAGTTTGTAATTCCATAGAATAGTCAGTGAAAAGTATAACCAGCAAAGAACTCATTGTGACGTCCACACCTTTTGCAGCTATGGACTAGAGTCAATGAAGCAGCTAGAGTAATGTGATTAAATTCCCAGTAAAAAAGATGAAATAATAAAAAGGATCACCTAAAAAAAATATAAGTCTAGTGAGAAGATGGGTTAGCACAAAGCCTATCTCTAGATCATTACTCCTAAATGGAGAAGTTCATTTGAGCTGGGTAGAAATTGTGTTAAAGATGCAGATTCCCAGCCCTACGAAGATGCCACGTTAGTCCGGGAAACAGACTTTTTCTTCCCATGGCCACACCCAGTTAGCACCAGGGATCTGAACAGAGACTTCTGCCAGTGAAAGAAATGCCCCAATGACAGTGAAAAATGTGTTGCTGGAAACTGTCAACTTTTCTCGCTTCAAAGGATCCAGAGATAGGTATCACTTCTGTAGAATAGCAGAGTCACTGTTATAGGGAGATATCTGATTAAAAAAATAAACAGCCATTAATATAATTTGACTTGTTTGGGGAACCAGAGATTATCATCTGTGCTTCACACTGAAGACATCATTTAAACATATCACTTGTGCAAAGCGATGCTCTGAAACATCTGAAAGCCGGTGGAACCCTGGAAGCACAATTTCAAGAAATATATTAAATGTGCTGACTTATTCCACAAGCACTTTATTTGTTAGGCACTGAAGTAAGTAAAGAGGAAACAAATCATTTAGTCTGGGCGAAGTTTCAGATAGGCCGTCAGGCGCTGCAGAAGGTCCACGGTGCTGTTAGACTCACGACAAAGCAGCGTGCTCCGGAGGGACACGAGAGGCGTGCGACACACGGGAAGTCCAGGGGTTAGGGGACATGGTGTTTTCCTTGAACCTCCAAGTGAAATTAAGGAGTGGTAAAAAAGGAAATGGAGGTGTGAAGGAATCTCGCGCCGGTTTGGGTTTCATCCCGAGAGCACGGGAGAATTCAAATGGTTTACATGAAAATAGTGATAAACTCAAGCGTGCCTTTTAAATGAATCCATCTGGCCGGCAGGATCAGAGGTCGAGGACAGGGGAAGAGGGCCATCAGCGTGGCCAGTTAGGAAATGAGAAATGACAGCGACCTAAATTCATAGAGTGGCAGTGGAGACTCAGCAGTGAGCGAGGCGGGGGGACGTAGGAAGGGTCGGCTGGCCGGGGTGACGGGGGCCTGGCGGGAGCAGCAGGCCAAGGGGGTGCGGAGGCCTCTGGTGCACACAGCTGTGGGCCGATCATCAGTGGAGCCGTTCACTCGGACAGAAAGAGTAAGAGAAATGAGTTCAGGAAGGAAATGATTCTGTATTCTACTTATTACGTGTTGCACTGGAGATACATACATTCCCACACAGTAAATAATGGGATAGATGTGTATGCTCAAAAAAAGTGCAGAAAGCACAGACTTGGAAGTCATCACTGCGCCGATGAAATGGCCTTTCTTAAGAGTGAGTGAGAACACGTACAGGATGCGGGAAGGCCTAGAGCAGACTAAAGAATAAACTGTTTAAGGAATCAATAAAGAACAAGGAGTGTTTATTGATACCAAGGCTAGTAATTTTGTTTTGTTTTGATTTCAAAATGAACTACCAGTGAACAACATGTTTAAATAATGGCAAAATTACTTAAAGAAATAACAAAGTTTTCTCGCCCTGCAAACTGCATTTTAATCGCTTCATTTTCCTCTAAACTGAATCATGAAAACTAAGGTAAACGGAACTAGAATATTAAATCTTTGATATATATAAAAGACGGTAGGAGCAAAATACTATTTGTAAGCTTTGATTAAAGTATCCTATTTTATATAAAATAAAACGAATTCAGTTGTAGTAAATCACTTCAAATTTTATTGAAATTTTACTATAAATATTCACGACCACACCAATATATTTCTTCATACACATAAAAAAACAACAGTTTGGAGTATTGGTTTTCATAAAGTGGAAAAAAATCTTTGAAAATGATTTCAAATTCTCAAGAGAATGAAGCTTTTAAAGGAACTAAAAAGAAGCATGTTCTAAACTAAGTGTTGTTATTTATTACTTTTAAGGTGTTTGGAATCTAAATGCACAAAAGGGAAAAAACATTCAACTTCATTTTCAAGAATTTGACTTGGAAAATATTGCAGATGTAGTTGAAATCAGAGATGGTAGAGGAAATGATTCCTTGCTCTTAGGTAAGTCTGCAGTTTAAATATTGTGGAGGTTGTACGGCTCAAGACGTTGGACTGATGGAGAGAGCATTTCTCAATAAATGTAATCACTTTTACAACTAACACACGGTAGAGTAGCATGTTGTATTTTATGTGAGACTTTTAATTTGGGAGTGTGCGCAATGATGATAGACTAATATTCTTGAACACTCTTGACAAACCAGGATTAATATTTTTAAGTCAGCTACTCCTACTAGCTGGTGTTAATTCCCTACAATAAACATTACTCTTTGGAGACTAAGAGCTAAGGACACCTGTTATGCAGTTTTCTATGCATTACATGCACATCAGATGTCCAAAGATGGCTATTAAATCAAATGTTATTTCATATCCAACTAACAAAACAAATTGTGTTTGTTATGCAAAATATTAAAATAATGTTTATTTTATATTTTATTATTATTTTGATTATCTATGTCTCTAGTACTCGCTGCTTCTAATAAGCATCGGAAAATGATTCAACAATTGGCCAAAGTTGACTTTTCCCCACAATCTATTATCATTAATTTTTTAAAATAAACATGGGAAAATGTACTATTCTAGAGGAAATTATTGTACCTAGATTATAAAATATATGTTAACATAATAAAAATCTGTCAGATATAATAGCTAATACCTTACTTAACTACTACCAATTTTTAAGACAGACATATCTCTAGATAAGTCATAAAGTATGAAAATGTATAAAGGGCCAACCGGAATGCACGAACAACACACTTCACAAGCAAAGGCATTTTGTCTAACTGTGCTTTGGACTCACATTAACCGTTGCTTATAAAATCTGGCCTGACACATTCAGGCTGCAATGACATGAACGCTGAGACCAATGAAAAGTGCTGAGGGCACTTTCCATAGGGTCAGAGTAGTGGAGAGGGTTCCCCAGTTACACTAATCCAACACCCGCTATGTGGGTTTCTTCAGCAAAATCCCACAAAGTTCTAGAATACAAGCTTCCTGTGAGAGGATTTTCAGAGCCACTCACAGGACAAATAGTGCAAGAATCAGTGGGACTAGGAGGTTGATGCTAGAAAGAACTGAGGAAAGAAAGCCAAATTTGATTTTCTTCTATACAATTATAAAAACATTTTGAGTAGTTTTCCCATTTTAGGGGGTTACATTGTCCTTCTAATAAAAACTTCAGTGTTCTCATGATCTAAGGAAAAATCGTTTTTTAATCATTTCATGTCTTATGTTTACATAAATCATGGAAAAGTAATAAGAATTCCAAAAGGATCTCAGAATCATAGTTTTCAAATTTGTTGGCAAAAAGTTCTTCTGAAACAGAATTGATTTTAGGGATTCTAAAATGTAAATTATTTAATAATATGAATGTATTTTTAATTAGCTTAAGCTTTTATTGTTTAGTAAAGAGTAATTCATTGTTTTTGCAGCCCCCAAATCACAGGGGTTAGTGCAAAAAAATTTGAAAATCACCACTTAGGTTTATATAACCTGTTTCTAATTAATTCATTCTTCAGATTATGTTAATGATTCAACTCACAAAACATGTCAAATAAGCTTGGACATAATTATTAAGGGAGACTATAATCTCTGTTGTTTCATAATGGTCTTTAGAAGCATCCAAATAATCATTTTTCTGGGCTAGCATGAGCTTGAATAGTAGTGGTGCTAATCAGCCAACCAGTGTTATGAGTAATTCATCATTAAGTTATAGAGCCACAGAACCTCAAGTAATATTTGGAATAGATCAATAGAGAAGTTGGCTTCCAAGAAGCAGTGTACAAAATGTAAAAGGTTGTACACATCGCATGGAACTGAGAAAAAGTGTATATTTTCTTCTAGATCATCTCACCGTTTCTCTTGTTTTCCTTTGGAGCAGCTGTGTACACAGGGCCTGGTCCAGTAAAGGATGTGTTCTCAACCACCAACAGAATGACTGTGCTTTTCATCACTAACAATGTACTGGCCAAAGGGGGATTTAAAGCCAACTTCACTACTGGCTATGGCCTGGGGATTCCAGGTCAGTGCACTCAGGGTCATGTGTTGCATTGTAACTTTTGGAGCAAAACGATAAAAGCATGTAGGACTTCAAGGCCTAAGTACATTTCAATGTTTGCATTCTAGAACACTCATTTTTCCTCATCTTAACAAAGATTTTCTTCCTCCCTTTACATCTATTTAACTGCTATCTGAAAATATTGAAAGCAGGAATCCATATCGTTTTTCAGCTGATCTATCTGCCTTCCGCTGGTGTGCAAAAAGTCACTGAAGAGGGCCATTTAAACGTTAAAAATGGGATTGTTGGCGCTGTGAGGAAGGAGGACTGTCTGTCACATTCCCTTTGCCAAAAGCACTTTTAGAGAACAGCAGGGGAACAGGCAAGTGAGCTGTTTGAATGCCAACAACATCCAATTAAAAGATTAACATCATTAACTTCTTAGAGACAAGCGGTGTAAAGCCAGTTCTATGAAAGATGAAGGAATTTGATGCTGATTTTGGGGAGTATGCACAACCTTCTAACCTTATATTTTTATTATAACATAATTAGCCGGGGGGGAGGGGTGCGACAAAATTGTTTCCTGCCTGTTCGTCCCGGTTCGTCTATATCCTTATATCATCTCTGATCTAACTCTGCATTCAGCTATGTGCAGAGAACTTGTTCTCTCTTGCTGCTCCTCTTGGACTATGACTTTTCTTAGGCTACTGCCCAAGGCTCTGTGCTTCCCTCTAGGTGCAGATATGTCGGAGAGACACAATACAGGTGACTTCCTCCACCTATCTTTCCCTTCCACAGGAGGCTGTGGCCAGTTTGTCTTTAATTAGAATGTCTAGAAAAGAGGTAGGGTTGGAGCTTGGGTTCTCATCTGGCCAATTGGCTAATCCCAGAGCCATCTGTGCACGCCTGCCCTCCACTCAGGCTGCCTAGGCCCTCCCTGCATCCCAGAAACTTGTACACTTTCAGCTTTACAGCAAGTATGGAAGTTGGCCTGTATCTCACCTACCCTCGCCCTGAAGAGAAGCCGCAACGATTCTGAGCGTCTGTAATGGCTGTGCAGGAAAAACACAGGGCCACAATTTGAAAATAAGAGGCATTTCCAAAGGAAAAGAGCTAGTCAGAACTAACAGCGAAAGATGTAACAGGAGGAAAATTATATAAATCCTGGATATGATCGAAGGGTCCTTAACACTCACGAAGTCTTACTGTTGGCTGTAAAATATCAATAAGCAGGAATCAGCATTATACCTTTCCTGTTTAAATTTTTAAATTCCAAGAGGAAAACGTTGGGTCAAATTCCTAAGCAGAATAAACATAATGACTTTCAAAAGGGTTAAAAATTAGACAAGCTTTATATTTTGCTCATTTCATAATGAATGCTTAAAAACAGTAGAGTGATATTTCTAAGTCTTTGAGGAGAAGCTGCTGCAACAAAAAATGTATAAGCATCAATCTCACTCACATTTGAATGCAATTGAATTATGTGTTCAGTTCTGCAACCTATCTGAAATTGAGCTAGCAAATACCTAATACCTATTCTATGCGAAGGAAGGTCTCCCAACTTTTTTCCAAGAATAATGCCATAGAAAGAACTTTTGAAAGAAGTATTATATTTTTAAAGAAATGGAGATGAACATTAAAACCAACTGAACTATAAAAAAACAAATAGCTCTAACCAAAAAGGGAGAAAATTTATTCATAACTCTGAACAATTGAAATGATTATCGGGCATTCCATCATCTGCAAAAGATAAAACATCTTAAAGCAAAATTTTAGAGAATGGTAAGTCTTTAAGCGCATATTTTAAATTGTAAGTGAGGAGGGAGGAAAGAAGTGGAGAAAGAATAGGTTGTGAAAAGGCAGAGAGCAACACATGTCTTTGATTAAAAATATTACAGTTACTGGCTTTTATCAGAGTTTTATAAGGAGATAAATACAACACCAAGAATTTTGAAAAATATTATAAGCCATTTCTAGTCAACATAAAAGCCAAAAGAGCATAATCTACTGCTTCCAACACAAAATAGATACCAGCTTTATGGTATAGAGGTGGTTTATATTTATTTGCCCTTTTGCTAGATTTCAGCCACAATGATGATGTTATTTAGGAAGTAAATCATTTAGAGAAAATTCCCTCAAATGAAGTTAGAGCGAGTCGTCCATGACCATCACTGTGTGGTGAGCATGCTGGGAATGCGTTTTCTCGCTCCTGGACACAGGACAGATGCTGCTAGGGAGCAGAAAATTGAGTGATTGAGTTGTCATCAGCACAGTCTTCTCCCAGAGAGATTTTTAACACCAAAAAAAACTGAAAAGCAATTATAGAAACAGGGAATTGGCAGTGGAAGATAATAAAGCTCGTAATGGAAAGAGAGGTTGGGCACACATATCTGCTTAGACTGGTGCTCTGCTTGGCTGGTCATTTTGGAAGAAGTATAAAAGGGATATCATAAATGTTCAGCATTTATATGCTTCATTTATCTTCTGAGATATTTTGGGGACAACTTCCAGAGTCTTTATTTGAAATGTAAAACAATTATATGTTTTTGTATCTCCTTTCTTTATTTTTAACACTGCCAGTTACATTCGACTAGAATGTATGAAATACAGATTTATTAAGATAAATATCTCCTCATGTCTCTTTTCTGATATTGAGGGTCTGCATTTGGAATTTAGTGGTCTTATCAGGCAACTGTGGAACTGGCAGCTGATTACATTGAAGGGTTTCGAGCCCTCCCTAGATTGTGGGGCCTGTGCCTTAGAGATCAATTCAGTTCCACTTAAAACCAAGCATATGTTGACTAAATGAGGCAGGGCTACTGGAGACTTCATAAAAAGGAGATGGGGAAATTCAATTCTTAGCAATATTTCTTTTTCTCTCTCTCTATGAGCATAAAACCATCAGAAATAAGATTTCAGAGGCCGCAGAGAGTTAAACTTTCAGATTAAAAGATTTCTTAATGAAGCTGAGCTGCTCTATGTTGTTGCAAAGAATAAGAATCCTGCTCATGCATGTAAGGAAAATTTTGAAAGAGTTTATTTAGACATTTCAGAATTTATAATTTTTAGTCAGTTTAGTAACAATATATGACTTTGCCCCTTGGCACATTTTTTTTTTTCATTCAATGCATTCTTCTTACAGAAACAAGTTAATTTTTCTAGATTCCTAGGATATAACCATTAACATCTTTCACAAGAGCACAAAAGTGAATTATAATTTTCAAATCTTTATATATGCTTTCGTTCATATTTTAATTCAGATAAACTTCCATTCCACAAATATGTGCTTTTCCAATTAAATAAAGCTCGACTACACTAGTAAAAGAGTAAAATTATCAATCAATTTATCCCTTGTTAAATTACTGGCACTGAGAACATATTTTTAAAAATGATTTTAACAAACTATGAGAACAAAGTAATGAGATAATTTAAAAATAACTAGCAGTGACTAACATTCTATAAGTATATTAAGATATTTGATCACAGATATGTAATTAGGCTGTCAACTTTTTAAATAAATGTAATATATATTGAAGTACAGATCTTAAGTAGAATATAGAAATACAAACACATGTATACCTAGTTTTAAGCCTTCTGTTTTCTAAAGGAAAATTAATATTACAAAGATAAAGTATAAAGTTAATTAAAATATTAATGCTTGCCTGTATAATATTTAGGTGTCTTCATCCATTTATCATTTTACTAATCTGGTTTAAAAATATGTGTTCATGAAACAAATTGATAATTACATTTACAAGAACCCCCTTAATAGTATTACATTTGACATATGTAATCAACTTCTCTCATGGGGCAAAAATTTGTAGAAATAAACAGCCAGGCCATGTCTTCCTTAAAATATTTTTTTATTAAGGTAACTTAGATTTGGGTTCAAAAATATAGAATTTTTCCAAGTTGAAAATAATGTATACAAATATCTCCAATTATTGTTGTGAGATACCCAGAGGAATGGATTAGCTATGATTTCTTATTGTTTATGCAGTTATCTGCGGGGAAAAAGAACACATCTGGCACCTGAAAGCAAGAATGTTAACTTAAAATTATCAGTAAAAAGGATGATTTTTAAACATTACTATTTTTGCTGTTAAGAATATTATTTAGTGAGCATTCAATGTATTCATATTGATATACTAAATACATTTTATTTTTTAAACTTACTTTCATGATACACCTAAGACATAAATAATAATTGTTCCCATTTGAACATATTCTCATATTAATTTATTTATTCAAAGTCAAAAACAAATAAAAATGAAATGGCTAAATTGAAGATCAAACCAAGGCCATATGATTACTAAGCCCACAGTTTAACCACTAATCAAATTCAAATAAGTAAATTTTATCTCCGTAATGCATAGAATCCACATATATTTTTCAAATCAATAGAGTTATCATCAGCCAGTCAGTTGCCTAGTTTAAAAATGTACTTTTTAAAGTTGTACTTTTAAAGATTGCTTTATATTGTGTCAACTCTATTACTAGGGTTTATACTGATTTTTGAGGTCTATCACTCATTTAATGTAAATCAGTTCACTTAACGTCTAACAAAATCTACAGATTTTCATTTTCGTGCCTAGCATTTAGTCATGCCCTGGGCATAGAAAGATAAAGAAACAAGGCATTATGGGCATTACCGCTGGCATATTGCAAATTCAGCTTAGAGCAGGGATCAAGAAAGCTCTCTTTTCTCCGTCTACTTTATTTCAAATCTCTTCCCTTTGCCAGTTGATTCAGGTATTAAATTTTCTTAACTGGGTCGCGAAGACTCATCTTTAGATATTAAAATATACTGTCCAATACAGCATCAAGACTTTAATGCCATCTAATTCAAAGGAGTAGCTGCTGTTTCGTCTCCCGGCTCGGGCACGGAGCTGAGCCCCGGAGCTTAAGGCAAAGGGTGAAACGCTGTCCTAGGCTGTGCTCCACTGTCCTCTCCTCCCAGCGCCCCCGGCCCCCCGGTGCTGCGGGAGAGGCAGGCCGGCAGGCGCCACCCCAGATTCCCCGGCTAACAGTGGGGCCCGGCCAGGCCCTGGCTCCTTTGTAGAGCAGTGCGGGATTCTTGGAGGGCTCCTCTGTCCCGGCTCCCCAGGACTGCTTCACTGCAGGCATGGGTGACGCTCCTCCTAGGTGACCTGCCACACCCGGACTCAGCCCCAAGCCCCACCTCAGGCCCCATCCCTCCACGTCTTTGCGCTGGGGCCTGCACACTGTCAGGCGGCCGGCACTCAGTGATCGCTCCCAGTGTCCACTGGCCAAGTGGAGGCCCATGCCCTGCCCTACACGTAGGTGAAATGCAGATTGTCTCCACCGCCACCCGCAGGGCAAGTGCCAGCCAACTTGCCAACTTCTGAGTTCACTGCTTGGAGGGTGAACATCAATCTTTTCTTATAGCGCTATCTGCCCACAAACTGTAGGAACTAAAATCACCATTTCCCTTGAAATTTTTCACTATACTTAAGTTTAGTCTAATATTTTTCAAGAAGTGGTGCCTGTATGTTCACTTTGGGATGGAGGAATTTATTGAAGAAAGATTAATAAAGATCGTGAGGGAGGGGTGTGTCTTGCCCTGTGCCCTGCTGTCAAGGAGACGCTGTGGTTTCATCCACACTCTTCTGAAGTCACATCTCTGGCTTCGACACTCCTGTTTCTGAGGCATTATGAGCCACCAAGTGTATAGCCTCATTCAATAGCAAAGCTAGCTCAACCATGTGCTGTGTAAAAGGTCGTTTAAAGCAACAGAAATGGGATGGCTACTCTGCAGTCATCTCTTTGTCATTTCTTTATCCTCTGCAATATATATTCTTTCCCGTAGAGCCCTGCAACGAAGACAGCTTTCAGTGTAAGAACGGAGAGTGTATCCCGCTGGGGAATCTCTGCGACAGTCTTCCACACTGCAAGGATGGCTCAGACGAAGCGCACTGTGGTAGGTTTCTCTTTTAGGAAAATGCTTTGATCACGTTAGCGTCTAAATTTAGATTCTACAAATGTGAAGGGAAGATTATGAATGTGTTGCTCAGGGCATGTGTTGATGTTGTAGGGGATGAACATGTCCCAGTGAATTCAGCACCTCTACCCCTACTCTAGTTAAAAGTAAAAATGCAGTCCCCGATTATTTATGTTTTGTTTAAATTTACCACACTTAATAACTTTAAGTTTAGGACAACCTATATTTAGGTAGAAGGCATAAAATACCACCAAGAGACAATAGCCCACACGAGGCGCTCAAACACCACTCATTATATACTCTGGGCATTGCCTATGTATGGAGGCACACTCCTCTTTACTTATAACTGATTTTCTTAGACGTGGTTCTTGCATTCCTGTTCCTTCATTTTANCACCAAGAGACAATAGCCCACACGAGGCGCTCAAACACCACTCATTATATACTCTGGGCATTGCCTATGTATGGAGGCACACTCCTCTTTACTTATAACTGATTTTCTTAGACGTGGTTCTTGCATTCCTGTTCCTTCATTCCCTACTACTCCTTCTGCCTTGAGTCTTCAAGTGGGTCCAGTCCCACTCCAGATCTCTGTAATATCATGAGTAATGGCTACTTTTACTATGTCTTGCTTTTGTTTCTGAGCAAATATTTAATGCTGCTTATTCTGTGCCATGCTCTGTAACTAAGTGCTGTAAGGTAATCATAACATATAAGAATTAGCTCTATTTCATCCATGAGAAAACTGTTATATAAAGAGAAAAATTAAGTTCACCAAATTTGTGTTTTTAACTTAGGCCTTCCAATATACTCTTAAGAAAAATGACAATCTCGAAACTCTAAACATTAAGAACTTTGGACATTTATTTCAGAGTCCATCATTTACTTTTCTCAACTTAGGTCAAAATGACCCCATGTCTAATCTCTTTAGTGCGTCTCTTCAACGGCACCCTGAACAACAATGGTTTGGTGCAGTTCAGAATCCAGAGCATATGGCATGTAGCTTGTGCGGAGAACTGGACAGCCCAGATTTCAAATGATGTGTGCCAGCTGCTAGGACTAGGGTAAGTAATTCTGCTCAGCTATCTTTTTGAGATTTTCAAACTTTTTATTTGGTATCCAACTGGGCTTATTAAGATAGTTAAAATTTTGGGAAGCTATGAATTTAGAAAATACACATGAGCAAGAGGAAGAAAAAAATCTTGATTACTCCATTTGCAAAATATAATCACTATGAATAGCTTTTCAATAAATGTGATATAAATATAAGTATATAGAAAATTATAAAATCACACAAACTAGTACATTATGCTATGTTTTACAGCCTTCTTATAAATGAGCATTTCTCATGTCATTAAATATATTCTACAGATTATTTTAAAGAAATTAAATATTTCATTTTATGCTATATCATAATATATATAACTAATCGCAAGCGTGCAGCAAACATACNTATCATAATATATATAACTAATCACAAGCGTGCAACAAACATACTTTTTCCTTTTTTAAAAAAAATATATCTTTATTGATTTCAGAGAGAGGAAAGGAGAGGGAGAGAGACAGATAGAAACATCAATGATGAGTCATTGATCGAGCCCGCAACCCGGGCATGTGCCCTGACCAGGAATCAAACCCCAATCGCCTGGATCCTAGGTCGACGCTCAACCGCTGAGCCACGCCCGGCCAGGCACGAACATACTTTTTCTATATCTTTGTAACATGTTTATNGCCTGGATCCTAGGTCGACGCTCAACCGCTGAGCCACGCCCAGCCAGGCACGAACATACTTTTTCTATATCTTTGTAACATGTTTATGATAGGTTTTTTATTTGTTTGTTTTTGAAAATTTGTAGCAATGTAATAGTTGTGAGAAGATACGCAAAATTTTATGACTTTCCCAAGAAGAATAATACAAGTGATAATTCCATATTAATGACTCTCCAAAAATCTGTCATACTTCCCAGTCTAATGTCATGATATGTTACATCAAATATAAAGTTCACCGTGATCATTATTTACCTTCCTATCAGCCATAGCACTATATTATTTACAGTTTGGCTTGTCATATTAAACTATGAAGTTTATAAATATAAGAACCATGTCTATTTTATCCATTATTGTATTGCTAACATCTAGACATCCTAATCTCAAAAATGTAGGTGCTAAATAAACACTTGTTCAAGCAGTAAATAATTCATTGTATATATATATGTATAATATGTGCATGTAAAAGTAGGTGTATCTATTTATCTAAATATATGTAAAAAGTTGTCCATTATGTCATTTTTTTTTTCTGTCCTGAACTGAGGAATGATTTTCTAATTTATTCTAAAAGATTATATAAAGTTACAAAGGAAAATAATTTCAGTTCATATCCACCCATGCTCTCAGCAATTGGCAATTATCTCAATTATTCCTAATTCATCGAAATCAAACATAATTGATTGCTTTCCTTATAATAAGGGGCCCTTTCTAATTGAGTAATAATTCACATAACATTCGTCATGCTATACACAGGTTTTCAAAATTTATTTTTAAATGATTATTTTTTTAACCCCAAACATATTTTCCACTGGAAATACCATCAGTATAATGGTTGGGTCTTAGTGTAACCCATAATAGCTGCTTAATTTCTAGTAGACTGGGAGAGTTATATTGTGTATTATTGACAAGTGCCTAGCAACCACACAGAGATATCTTACAATAGGAAAATGTGTTGAGGTTCTAGTCAGAGTGTCAAAAATGCTCCGTAACTTCTTGCAGTTGGATTGAAAGCTGTCAACTCCCTTTACCTCCTAAAATGCTGTTCATTTAGAGTGGGAACTCCCCAGCTCGAAGCCCCATTTAAGGGATGTCAGGCTCAATAGAAAGTCAATTTCTATCAAGAGGCAAAGGGAGGCAGTGAGTTTTATCACCCATTATATAAAAAATCATCAGTTTGGTCTGTGCCTATTAGTTGGAAACTTCTTGCACTTTGTATATATTACCTGTGTTATACATTGTACCTTGTATTATAACAAGAACCCTTTCTACATGGGGCTTTGAGACACAGAGTCTTGGAGGCAGGTGAGCTGTAGGGGAATAATACTACTTTGATGAAGAGTCAGCCAAACACTGAAGATGACAGTTGTGTTTATCAACACTGCAGGTAAAGCACGGGGTAAGTGGCATTGGTTCCAGGTTCCCACTTTAAAGCCGATTTTAGTTTGATGGCGAATTCATACGGGGAGGCCTGGGAAGCCATTTGCTTCCACTATTAGGGTCTCCAGTAAGACTGAGGGGCCGTTTGATAGACTCGGGAATGTAGTGAAGAGTCGGCTAAGGGACTGGCCCCTCGACCTTGCTCCCACGATTGATGGATCCGAATGACAGGTACGCTGGGCTTTCACCGCACAGGGGCTCGTGATCCAATCCCCCACCCTTCTAAACAACGCTGTATGATTATAAACGAGTTTTTTCTGCTGTGGTTTGTGAATCTGAACCAAATTGCTTCCTGGAGGACATGTGGGATTAAGACGAGTCATTTACAAAGATCAAACGATCAACACCTTCTTTGACAGAAGGTTTTTTTCAGTGAATCTGAATGAAATATGTGGGGTCGTAGCATAATGCTGATTCCTACAATTGCATGAGAGAATGTATTGGAAGGGACACATACCTTTTATTATTTTTAATGGTTGCTAATATAAATATGTTATTTTGGTTACCCCCAGATCAGAAATCTAAGCGTTAGCAATGATACCGTGTCTGTCCCCTGGATGAATAAGACATTGTTTCTGCTACCGATGGGGTGGAGATAGTCACATAAATAGATCATTACAATATAATGTGATAAAGCCAGTGAGCTACAGGAGAACCTACCCAATTTGTGCGTGTCAGGAAAGGCTGTCTAGAAATTGGCCTGAGCTGCGGGGGTGACAGCCAATTCCGCACAACTGTGTACTGTCTATTTACATGTTTTCCCCCAGCCAGGTTTCACTCTCTAGTTCACTGACCTCATTTCCTATCAATCACAGTCCTTCCATCTGGAGACTGGGACAAAGAACTAGATTTTTTAGTGAATGTAAAGCAAGCAGTCCATCCCACTGCCTCCGAGGCAATGTTTTTGATGAAGGTCAGGCACCGGCTTTCTTCAGAAATGAGTCAGGTAATCTCTGCGAAGACTTTAATCTTTGGGCCTGCACTTATTAAATAGTCCCCATCGTGCCCCGGTAATTGAAAGAAAGTTATAGCCTTAATGAGAATTTGTCTGGGCTGGCACATGGTAATGCAGAGGAGACTCAGCGAGTTTAAAATGATGTGTTTGGTACCCTGGAAAGTAATTTAGGAGTCAATTTATTAAAAAGGCACTGTGGTCTCTCAAGATTATTTATGCAGATAGGCTACAAAATGCAATCCCCCAAAGGTCCTAGTAAATCGTACGAGGCAGATTTCATCAACCTTCCCTTTTTAAAAGGAAACATTTCCATTCCCTGCCATTGATAGCATGCATAAGTAAAAAAGAGCTTTGAACAACGTTTCCATGTCTCTGATCAAAGCATGAAAGAAAACATTTTACACTGATGCCGGAATAAGTGTTCAAGACACTTAGACTAGTGATTTCTAAAGTGATAACTGTAGTTCTTAGAGAAGCGCCTCCCCTGTCCCTTACCCAGTGAATGAACGACGCAGCTGACTTGCTCTGCTAAGCCATTAAAAACCAGAAGTCATTTTCTCTTCTAAAAAAAGTGTTTCCAGCTGCTCAACTTGTAAATAATGCCGTATATTCTATGAAACCAGGGGCAGTTTTGATTAAAACTGCTAAAATTGAATATACTTTCTTTTTACTTTCCTTCCATTTTTCCTTCTTTCTCCTTCCCTTGTTTTTTCTTTATTTTTTGCTCCCTTCCTCATGTCCTTCTCCTCATTTCTCTCTTATTTCCTTCCATTCTCTCATCTTTTTTCCGCCCAATAACCTTATCTTTTCAAAAGAAAGGGGAGTGATTTATAACAAAAGTATATGCAGTAAGAATAACAGCGTATTAGGTGAAAATAATTTCCAAATGGATAAAAGGGAAAATCTGTAAAACACTCGGAGTAAGCATAATTACTAATATTTGTAGCTGAGATTTCTGGAAACCCAGGCAAAAAAGAAAACAGTAAAAGTCACATGACTTTAATTCTGATAAGATACATGCTACCAGTTCCATAGGGAAGGCAGAGTTCTCCGGACACCAAATTCTAAAGGAAATGTTGCACGCGTGTCCTTAGAGAGTAATAACGCACTGGAAAAATGCGCGCAGGGAGAAAACCTGGCATATGTGGAGGGGTAGGTCCTATGCCTCCTCAACGATAAACTCCAGTGGCAGCTGAGAAAACAACGTCACAAGTTGTATGAGAGCGGGAGATAATCCGCCCACTCTACCCTCCTTTAGTTCTCTGGCTGGACTAGTTATAATATAATAAAATTGACACAAGACTGGATTAACAGGGGAGAGAAAAGCACAATTTAATGCATGTGCACAGTAGAGTCACAATGCGATGCTCAGATCGTGAAATGAGGCTCAGGGAGGTGGAAAACTAGGCACCTTTCTGTACTTTTTAGACAAAGAAGCAATAAATGCGTGAGAAATGGACGAGAGCAAGTCAGTGCTCGTGGGAAGGAGCCTAAGCAGGCGTGGGAATTCCTCAGGAGGGAACCTAAACGAAGTCTGGGCGCGGGTAGTAAATTAGTAAAGATGTCCGAGGGTGGTTCATACAGGCTTTTGGGCTCTGGGTTTGACAACTCTTGCGATAAGGTTGTCTCTCAGTCTTCAGAAGCGGGAGGCCACCTCGCACGGACCCTTATTTCCTGTTTTTTGGGGACAGAGGAGGGTCAGAGAGCTCTTCCTGCTCTTGCTGCTTCTCAGGTGATTTTAGTCCAAAATAACCAACATGCTGTTGTGGCATGTCGTGGGGCAGCCCACCCCGGGCCCCAACAAAATGAATCAAAGATATAGGACGAGGGATTAAAACCAGGTTGTCCAAGATGTTGTCCATGGATCCTGTCTCTGACAGTCTCCCCTAGGTTTCACTTCTTTCAGCCACATTTTGGGTAGGAGATGCAAAGCGTCTGTTTCCTTCCTAAAACCGTTGCATCCGTAAGAGAACAGGGAGCAGCTACAGATGGGCCCATTCGTTTCCCTCTTGCACCAAGGAGAAAATCGATTAAGTGAAGATCATTTCTTCTATTGGCATTTCTCTTCTTCTGTGTGTCACAGAATTTTTAAGAGTTGAGGTCAGAAAAATCTAAAATTTATTAAGCTTACCTGTTTGCTGAAAGCTATCACAGTGCTGGGTGAGCGTTAGATGTGCTGCTATAAATGTGGCAAATGAAGAAGCAGTTGTAGTTTAGAGGCATCCAGTTCAGTCCGTGTTTAATGAACAGCACACATGTCCCAAATCTCCTAGTGGGACTCTCCCCATCCTTTGCCTTAAATCCTTTTAATTCACTGATCCCCAGCCTATTAAAATGCTCTCCCTTACCTTCTGTTCTGCCAAATCAATCCTCTCCTTTCCCTCCAATCTGAAAAGGAAAGTCCATTCTTCTCAAAAAAAATTCTTTTCCGGCCAATCGCACCTGGCTCAGTTCATTACTTAAACCTCTTGGGAGTGTGAAATGAGCTGCAGCGCCTGGCTGCCGCATTTACAGGATTGGTTATTTTTTTAGCTTTAATGTGTCTAAAAGCTTTAAGCATCCCTACCTAAGCTCCTGCTTTAGGGAGGAATTCTTATCACAGCTAACAGTCTGAGGAGGGAGACAAAGAGAGAAACCTAAGCAGGGCCTGAGAAGAAAGGCAGAAGGTTTAATACCGTGCAAGATGCCTTGGGATAGCCTTCTTTCTTTCCCTAAATTCATCTGTGAGTATACGAGTATTTTTATACTCAGTATACAACCTCTCACATAATAATAGTGAGCTGCATCTATGTGCTTTTATTCTCACGTAGAATAGGTTTCCCTGAAGCGAGGGGAGCTCTTTGAAGGTGCACAACCTATACAAATGGTAATAAAATTTAGATATAGGTAGCCAGGAGTCATTAGCATGTCAAAAAGGCAATGCTCTCTGGGCTTTTCTATGTGGCACCAAACTTCTGATTTCCAGCAGCTGTGCAAATACGTGATAGAGTTATCTAAATCTGCAGAGCTGGAACCAGTTTCCAGGATTTAAAATATGCCAACTCTAGTTGTAAACTGGACAGAGTGCCTCTCTAAAAATTAACAACTAATTTCCTTGCAAGAAAAAAAAAAAACCGAGGCAGGAACTCAGTTGCATTTTTATATTCACAGAGCTTCTCTCTTAATTTAATTTTTCAGTTGTTCTAAGATTTTGTTTTTTAAAAACAGTGACAGCATAAAATTGCTAACCCCTTAGTTTGCCAAGAACATTTAAAATATAGTTTTATTATCTCCATCATTTATTAACATAAGAAATACTTTGTTGTAAACGTTTTCTGCCACTTATATTCTGTTTACTGTGAATACAAACTGGAATAAATTGTGTTCAGTACAAAAAAGGATGAGTTGAACTTGGCAGGGTTTCAAAGGCAGGTAGTCTGTCTCAAATTCCCAGTTCTAATATCCAGTGCTGACACCAGGAAATGTTCATATGAACTGAGAGCCTATATACACCACTCCTAGGTTGCTGATAGCCATATTTCCTACACAAATTTAATTATGTGATTGCTTCATAAGTTTTTTTCCAAACAAAGGTTTTGTCTAAATCTAAATAACCCAAAACAACATATCTGTACCATTAACTGCAGTCTATTTTCTCATGTAAAGTTTGAGACTAAAAATGTAGAGAAGACAATCTCAGAATATAAGATAATATTGTTGGTGGTAGATGAAACTCCCCTGTCATTTGGGGAAGCGAGGTTCTTGGGGTGGAGCTGAAATAAGAATTTTCGGAAGCCCCCACAGAAAGGTGGTGTTTGGAAGAAGGCTTTATTTGCATAAAGTTACATTTTTCAGGTTGCAATGCTCCATTTCCCCCAAGCCAGTCCTGGAAGAGGGGCAGCTGGGGTTCAGGAAAGGCAGAAACAGGGCCCGTGCCCAGAGTTTCCGTTCCATGTTGCAGCCGAATGTAGTTCAATATTCAGGTCAGATTAAAGTCCATCAGTTCATGTGTGGAGCCCAACATGGCCCTATGGATGACTACCTGAGCATTCCAGGGTAGAAAAGTTAGCATTTACTAAATTCTTTATTCTTTAAATACATTCTTTATTTACTATGTTCTTTATTCTTAAAGCTTCCTATCTAGCCTTCCTTTATCTGGAATGGGTTTATGGTAAAAATATACCTGCCAATCTCATCCCAGGGCAATGCCAGTGGTAGGTGTATAATAAATAGATACTAGACAAAAACTGATTTATAAATAATTTTTCAATATATTTTCAGTTTAATTTTGTCCAGATTTCATTTTACATTTCCAGAGAAATTAATGCATCCCCCTCAGGGTCTGTCTCAAAAGAGATAGCCAAGGGATGGAATAAAAACAGCTAGAGATCATGGGAGCATCTTAAATCCACATCTCTGAGATAGGTTTACCCAAATAACAACAATATCCAAAATATAATCGAATTTCCAAAACCACTTACTGAGCGCTTATGCTCAGGGCTTGACGTCTTATGTTATTTAATCCTCACAACAACCCTATAAGGTTAAAACCATCGTTGTATCTCCCTGGTAAAGGTGAGGAAACAAAAGAAGCTACTGGTTGAGAATTTGTGTTACCGAGCCACTCGTAGGGCCAGGGTTTTAACCCCATAGTCTGGCTTAAAGCTCAAGCCTCTTACCCACAACTCACATTATAACCATTAAATCAATCTTTGACCATTAATTGTAATACTAATTATTTCTTTTAAAACCTTGATAAAATTTGCAACAAAATAAAATCCAATATTTCAAATGACAAAAAATAAAAAGAAGTGCAAGAGACTAAATTCTGAGGCATTAATGATAGACTCCGTGGCTCCAGCTCTCTGGTCAGTGAGTGAAGGGTACAGGACAAACACTTTCCGTTTCTTTAAGGCATTTTTTCACCTGAAAGAGAGAGGAAATATCCTCTACCAAGGTTTTCTTCTCTTGTTGATCGTGACATCTATGAGTGTGCCTTGGAAATTCCCGCACAGATAGAAAGGGGGAGTGTTGGCTTTTGAAGAGGCAATGGGTGGGTCCATGGTGCTACCAGAAAAGGTAGGCACTGCCTCATCTCCCTGCTAACCAGAGAAAGCAGGAATCTGGATGTCTGCAGCCTGAAGGCTTCGTTTTATATGAAAATCAAAATCTGGAATTAATAAAAGGCCGAAAACAGGGTTAGGCATTAAGAAGCTGAGAGTCTAGCTGAGCCTCAGGAAGAGTCAGGATAATTGAGAGAAATTATCTCACAGTTGAGAGCACAAATGTGACAGATTTTCAGGGAAAAGAAACACTAGGGATTGAATGGCTTCTGTCACATGGAGTTATCTCCATCCCATTCTGGCTCACCAGGTGACACTTGGAGGTCCAAGGTGCATACTTTCTTTTTCAGGGCAACACATAACTTCTGGCTTTAAATTAGGGCTTGTTAGGTTTTGAATTGAATGAACTATGAAGGACACAGCAACATCTGGAATGGTAAACACAGAAGTTTTCCTTTATCTAGATTGCTCTTTGGCAAACATGCATTTTTTTAAAGGATGAATTTCACTCGATAGGAACAAAGTTTAATAAATATGATGCAGCGATTCGGTGAGGTAGTCATTAAAATTGATCACCAAAGAACCTATTGGACAATATACATAAGGCAAATGAAAAAATCAGACACCCAAGTTATACATACACCGATTTTAACTTTGTTAAGCACGCAAACAAAAACTTGAGGCATTTAGCAAAAATTCAAGTTATATCTATGTCATTATGGGTAATTTTACTAATTTGTACCATCTTTTAGATAGCATAACACTTGAAGTTTTGTATTAAAATGTTAATTTCTTTGTATGGAATTCCATAATTTCTTTCAATGTCCACAGCATTGAATAACTACAGTTTAGTTTCTGGTTTTTTATTTGTGTTTTTGCTTTATCTATATGTGTGTTTTTCCCTAGGAATGGAAACTCATCAATGCCCGTTTTCTCTACTGGAGGTGGACCATTTGTAAGACTAACCACAGCGCCTAATGGCAGCTTAATACTAACACCAAGGTGGGTCCCAAAATCTGTTCTTGGACAAATAATACACAAACTGGAAAGAAGAGAGATTTTGAAGCCAATCAGATTTTAATTCCATCACACACTAGCCACGTAAACTTGAAAGTTATTTAACTTTTTATTCTTCAGGTAATCTCAGTCTCTCATCGATCCTATGCGATAACATTGCCTAACCCCCATATAAATGGTAAGACAGTCAAATAAGATATAGTCTGTTAACTGTTCCGCACACTGACAGCGATCCAATAAATTCTAATTCCACATCCCTGTAATCCTTACCCTCAGATTCATAAGCAAGTAAACCCCGTTGAAAGAAACTATGGGAGTGAGATAAATCGGCCAGTGTGGCTCCGATGAAGGAGAAGCCAAGTCAGCTGTGGTCCGCAAGGGCAAGGAGGAGCGAGTCACCGCCGTCTTCTCTCTGCCTTGGCAGACAGGGCACCGGAGGCTGTCCAGACTTCTAGCTCTGCCAGTTTCTTTTGCTCTTTAAAATTAGGTTCACTTTTATAGCTCTTAGTGATGTTTTACGAAGCGACATTCTTTTCTTATTCGAAGGTCTGTTTTAGCTTAGTTTATATCATTTCCCCTGTTTGAGCCTTAACAGTAACTTTTGTTGAAATTGACTTTTGAATCTCGCAGTTCCATTAAAGGCCGGCTGTGGGTGGGAAAATAACTGCCGGACGAAGCCATAGCTACAGACAAGGGTTTCAGATGCCATTGCTGGTGCCTTAGCTTGTAGTGTTTTGTTTAATAAACTTAATGGTGAAAATGAAATTATAAAAGGATCCAGCTATTCATGAAAAGTTACCATTTCCTTGAGGCCACCCAGTAACACAAACTGATAAAGGAGTATTTTTCGTACCAAAGGACTCTGCAGTGGAATGTTTTATATAAATCTTTGTGGGGCCTTGAGGTTGAAGCCAGCAGACTTCTAGATTTCCCTTGTATAAGGCAGGTCTAAATTTACATTACCGTTGCAGATCTTGAGCAGCCTGCACATTGAGAATTTCTTTTATTGATATCTTATATACACTTAAATGATAAAAAGAACAAAGGGCAAAATGATAAAAAAAAAAATTCATCTTCATTAGATGCATGTTTCAGAGAAAAACTAAGATATTCTATGCATATCAACAAAATGCCAGTATCATCTTACCTTGATGTCCCTATTGTGTGTGTTTATGTTATTTGAAAGGGACACCATTTACAGACATAGATCCCAACCTTTCATAACATTACGAGCCAGAGAGGTCCTTAATTTCTGTCTCGATTAGCCATGTTATATGGGTTAGTGAAAATCAGACATACGTACATTTATTTAACGAGGTAATTTTTTTATATATGTATTTAGTTATTACATTTATTGCCCTGTGAAACCTGGAGTTTTTGAAAACGCCCTTGCTTGCACTAGTGGTTGTGATAAAAAACGAGGGAAGGAAGGAAATGGCAAAGATCATTCCCCCAGCTCTGGAAACCTACGGCCCTGTATCCTCACCTGCTCCTCACGCTGTGCGGCCCACCAAGGGTCAGGCTCCGGCTTCCCGGCCCTGGGGAAGGCCGCTCGCTCCCTGAGGCGCCAGCAGTCTGACCTGACCTAACTGACACGCACGGGCCACACAGCCGCCAGCTCGGACCTCCCCGTCTTCCAGTTCTTCACACCACCTCAGGCGCGGCCCTAGGAGTCGGAGAAACTTTGACAATATAAATTGATTGACTCTGTGTTCTAAGCATGGAGCTAGATACAGGACACAGAGTGCTGATCAAACACTTTAATGAATGCCTGTCGTGTGGCTGACACCGTGGCAGGAATATTACAGATTTTATTTCCAGTCCATGCAAAAGCTCTGCGGCATAGGCCATGTTGCTTCACTAGCAAGGCGAGGAAACAGAAGCCCGGTGTGGATAACTAGCGCCTTGGACAAGTTTACGAAGCCTGCAGGCAACATGGAGAGTCTAAGCCAAGGCGGCCTGCTCCAAAACTCTGTACCGTTTCCCTCTGCTGCGCTGTCTTCTCAATTCCCCAAAGCCACAGCTCACTTTCAACAGCAGTTCTGGGAAGGAGAAAGAAAGAAAAAGTGCAGGTTTTTCAACAACAAAAAGGCCATGTTGTTAAGCTTATATTGGAAGAGAAATGAGTTCATGCCGTCAATAGGACAGAAAGAACCCCATCTATTTCTATCACAGCGTCGCTCCCAGGGGGCTGAGAGAAAGACAGGATCGCGGCATTGTCTTTCCTCCTGTCCCCAGGGCTAGCCTGGCTCCCACTGCACTGCCCAAGGCCAAGGCAGTAATTCTGTTTCTCTCCAGTCTCTCTAAATATACCTGGACGAAGACTGCATTCACTGCTCATTCTGACCGCAGGTTCAGCAACTCACTCCTCTGTACTGAGACACTGTGCGTGTGTGCGTGCGTGTGTGTGTGCACAAAAATTTTTGACTAGTCAAAATGCGTGGAGAATGCAGTGTAAGGTTCAGTTTAATTTTCTCGTTAACTATCAAGTTAACCAGAAACTTCTCCTTGCTTACTAAAAAATAACTTATCAGTTTTATACATACCAGAGAGTATTAAGCATTTTCTAATATCTAAGAATGATGAACTATTTTGAATGTGGATTTTCACTGGTAAGTACTATAGATGTAGAAAGAGTGAGGATAAAACTTGACACATCCCAGAAATTACTTACCCAGCGATGAGTCGATAACAGAAGGGGAGTTAACTGATGGTTCTTTGTTGAATGTTTCGGTATACCTATATCTAGATAGATATACGTAAGTGCATATTGCTTATTAATAAAATATAACTATATTTTCTTATATTTCTATTGAAATTATCTTCTACTCTAAAGGATAGGTCAATCAGACCACATGAACGCATGTGGTTTCAAATTAACCTTACCATGTATTTTTCAGAAACACTGATTTCCTTTGGTTGTACTTAAGATCTCATATGGATCTAGGGTCTTATTTTGTGTGTTTTGCTTTGTTTTTTCCTAAAACTTCAAGCACCTAAACAACATGAATAATAGACGTAGTTAAGTATATAAATAGAAATCATTAAAATGATAGGTGTGTGCATGTGTGTGTTTTAATGTGACTAATATCTGCAGTGGCTGCTTTAAGAACTATCAGGACAAGTGCTTTAATTCCTTGTATTAGACTGATCTCTAGTGGTTGGTAAGTATAACACATTTTAAAACAATTTTTTGTTTGTTTAAAATCAAATCTTGGCTTTGAGTAAAGTTGGCATTCCAAATATTTAAACAGGTGTTGAGCTTTTAAAGTATTTATGACTGCACTTCATTTGCTGTTTATATGTTTACCTCCCTTGAAAGCAGGACCTGTGATTAATTCATCACTGAATTTCCTGCATGGAGTTCACAGTCTCACACACAGAGGGAGGCAGTGACTGGTCTGATAGGAATATAGAGGCATATTCTGTATTATAGAATGATGAAATCCGAGGTTGGTTCAAGCAAAGGAATAATGGCTGTCATTTATTGAGTGTTCACTGTGTATAAGGCACAATAATATAAAATAATTTTTACTTTTCAGAAAATTTCAGTAAAGTAAGTAGCATTGTTCCCATTTTATGGACGACAAAAGGTAGTCTCAGGGATACTGAGCAACTTACCCAAATCGTGAAGTGTAAGCGGTAAAGGACACAAGCCCAGCTCTATTCGACTTTAAACTGAGGATTTTCTGCTCTGTATTTCAGCCTCCCCACATTTCCTATATGATACTTACATTTAAAAGTTAATTTAAAATGGGAAACATCTGTAATACTGTTAACAATTTTTTTAAGTTCATTTAACTAAAAAAGGCAGGATAATCTACAGTATGTTATGCTTTAAAACTGTTAGGTGCATAATTTCTGAAATATAATTGTTCTATTGCAGTAAACAGTGTTCACAGGATTCACTGATTCTGTTACAGTGCAACCCTAAATGTAAGTAAATATTTTGTCATGTTTTCTTCCAAGCATTTAATGTAAAATTCTGACTAGAGTTGGTATGTCCCCTGAAGTTATTTTGTAATGATCTACTCAATTTTCATGATCAGAGGAGATCCACCAAAATGCAATAGATTTTTTTTTTTCTTCAATTATTTTAATAGCATGTGGGGAAAAAATGGTGGCTCAAGCAGTCAGCCCAAAGATCGTTGGAGGAAATGATACCAAAGAAGGAGCCTGGCCCTGGCTCGCTGCCCTCTATTATAACGGCAGACTGCTCTGTGGCGCTTCTCTCCTCAGCAACGACTGGCTGGTGTCTGCGGCCCACTGCGTGTATGGGTGAGTGTGACGTCACAGTGTCCCTTCCCAAGTGGATGGCACAGCAGACACTGAGCATCCTGTTTCGGGCAGCCTCACAAATCCATCTCGTCAGGGAAATCTTCCTGCTGTTCATGACATTATAAACTCTCCAAACATTTTCCCATTACAATCACTTATAAAATGAAGTTCAATTAAAAATCATTCTACATTAGATATTTGTATCAAGTGTTATGTTTCCTACATACATCATAATTGAAAAGTAAGCATTTATTAGTACCTAATGTATAAATTGTACTGGCTATCATTAAATCAGGCCAATATTTATTGTCAGCAAATTGTTAGCATCAAAAAAGGTCTCTAGTTACAAATAAATTGTACTCTAAAAATTTGTGTCATCTAAGGACTTAATTATGGATCAGGATAAAAATGTTTACTTTGTTCTCAAGTCACNGTGCTCTAAAAATTTGTGTCGTCTAAGGACTTAATTATGGGTCAGGATAAAAATGTTTACTTAGTTCTCAAGTCAACTCTACTTTGATGCTACCCATAACTAAAACTTAGAACTAACGCCAAATATCTAATTCTTTTTTTCTTTTTGTACCACGACAAAATGCATGTTGAATTCTAGGGTTTACTCTTCCTCTAGCAGCAGCCATTCGTTCCCAAAGCAATGCCACAGGAGAAAACAGAGTGGGTGGGGAGGGGGCAGGGAGAAAGAGAAAACACTCCTGGGCACGGCCACTTGTTAATTCTCTCCTTCTGCATGAAAGAAGGATCATCTTTAGGTAATTCCCTTCCAACACTTCTGAACTGGATCAGATAAAAAGCTGGCTTCCTCATAGAAAAATTCATAAACCCTGACGTAGGGCGGTTTCCTGGCCCTAAGTAGAAGACGACTCCAGAAAATGTCCTTCTCTGTGAGGGTTACAATGAGCCTCTCCTGAGGGCATCCAGGTTCCCCGAGGAAAAACCATGTGTGTTCAGAACAGAAGATGCAGCCGTAGTTAATAAAATGAAAAGACTGAACTCCCTACCAACACAAGCATTGAAAGTTCTTGGATAGATGGAAACAGATAGTCACACAGAAGGTTTTGGAAGTTGTTTGGGAGTTAGGGAGGACCAGAGAGAATGTGTATTAAAGGATTGACTCTACGCCTAAACACCCATCCTATGGAGTGAGGGTAAATTCGAATTCATGATCCTAGGGACTTGGAAATGAGGACCTTCAGCGGGACCACAGGTTGGCCAATTACCTGAGCCTCCGTGGAACTGTCCGTGGTGCTGACCATGTGCATCTAAAGCTCTGACTCTTTCTGAACCTTTCAACTCAGTGACTAGACTATAGCCTCTCCCATATCTAGAGTGCACCTTCTTGACTTTGTTGCATCCTGATAAATTATATTTTAATCTGTTTTCAACCAGCATATAACAAACATCCATAGCAGTCAATGTCCCCATTCCCTGCTAAACATGACTTTTAACTTTTACCTGTATATACTCTATGCCTTGGGCATGTCACAGATGGTAACCTATATCCTAACTGTACCACAAGTAAAAGGCAGATTTAGCTAAAGATTTGGTGTTTTCTGTTGCACAAAGTAGGTCTTAGTAAGTTAGCAATCTCCTGTATTAACTTGGGACTTGGTAAATCTGTCTGTTTGATGTTCTTGCAGAACATATCCTTTCTAAATGTCAACCAGGCTTGCAGTAATTTTAGCAACATCTTTCAATTATCTGCCTTACAGATGTACTTACTGAAGGTCAGTGATACCAATATTATATTCTTTACAAACCACGAATACATGAAAAGCAGTTTCACCTAATATCAACACATGTTCAGTCACATAGGACATAAAATCTCTTTTCACACAGTTTCATTCTGAGCACAAGCAAACAAAGGTAAGCTGTAACAGAATCGTGATTAATTCCAACTTATTCTCGCCACACTTGCATCTTACCTCTCTTCAGCCACTCAGAGACAGTATTTCTTCTTTCTCTAGTTGCCAAGAACTCCAGTTTCTGCTTTCACTTCATGCTTCTGACCAACCAGTTTCTAGTATCATTTTAGATATTTGAAAAACATATTTTTAACAGTTTACCAATATTACTGCCTATTTGTCTTTAAAAAATCTTCACTGGGCAGTGAAAAGCTTAATTTCCTAATATCTAAAAGGAAGAACCCAAAACAAGCAACTTACTGAAGTCATACTACACAAATGACTTGTCCTCAGTGTGAACCTGCTCCGTTCCAGGTGTTTGAACCTGCAGGTGGTTAAACGGTCTAACTGGACAGCTCTTCTCTGTCTACATTCTTATTGTCCCCACTGCGATTCCCACCCAACCTCAGTGTTCCCGGATGACCCTAAATATCCCTGTGCCTGTTGTTTCTCTATCACTGACTTAAAAGAGAGATTTTGAAACTATGGGCCAATTTTGTTGTGGTTTAAAGGCAAGGTTGCCTTTGAGCCAGAGGACAGGGATTTGATCCTACCTATGTGACTGATCTCATGTGACTTAGCCTCCCTGTGTTTCAGTATCATCACCTGGAGGGTGTTTATATGGTATCTGCCTCCTAAGGTGACTGTCAGGGAAAAGTAAGATGCTGCATTACTTTTGCATACTGTAAATATAAATGTGCAATAAAATTTTTTATTGTGCCACTCTTCCTGCCCCTGAAAGGTCCATTAAAAAGGAATCTAAGTCTTGCCCAAGAGACACTATGCATATTTATTTTACAAATGTGTTAGATGGATATAATTTCAAAACATGCACAAAGTTACATATATTAGTCTAAAGAACTCTTTTAGAAATTCACCCAGATCCACTAATTGTTTAAACATTATGCTCTGAAATCTTTCTTTCTTTAAAAATCTTTCTCCTTCTTTCTCTCCAATCTGGAGAATTTTTTTTCTCAACCATTCAACCATTTGATAGTAGGTTAGACATCATGCCCCTTTACTGTTTGATATGACAATGTGTTTTTATTAAGAACAAGGATTTTTTTTTATGTAATCACAGGAAATCATGGAAATTTAACATTAATGAAAAAACAATTATTTAATCCACAGTATGTATTTATTTTTGTCAATTGTCCCAAGTATGCCCTTTACAACAATTTTGGTTTGTTTGTATTTTTGCCACCCAAGAAGCAATCCAGGGTAATACACAGCATTTAGTTTCTATGCCTCTTTGGTCTTCTTTAATCTGCAATAGCCTTTCTATCTTTCTGTCTTTCTTAGCCTTTCTATATTTTTTTTTTTCTGAAATAATCACATAGAAATTCAAAGAAATATATGTAGCTTATTTGATATAAATTTAAATTAATAATAAAATAATGCAGTTCAGAAAAAGAGTGCCTAACCTCCCAAATTCTTAACTTTGTAAGTGCTGTACCTCATCTGATAACTATACATATAAATATATGATACGAGAGAGCTTGTAGCTAACACAAAGTTTCATAATCACCATTTCCTTTCATTATTTTAAGGTTCTGAATAGAAAACCAATGCAAACTATAAACTGTGAAGATCAAACATACATGCTTCAAGCTACTGGTCTAATTAAACACAGTCTGCAGCAACATTAATCTGACACATTCTTAGTGATTTCCAAAATTGTTATTGTGCTACACAGAAAATAGCCTGTTTCCCATGTTTTTATTTCTCCTGCATGTATAAGTATCACTATGGGAAGGAAATATTTCTCCAACATATATAATTTGCATTTCTCTCTCAAGTCGTTCCACAACTCTTTCTGTGTCCATGTAATTAACTTATCCCACCGAACAAGTTCAACACATGCTAAACTAGGCACTTGCAGCTGTTAAGAATTAAATGACTAGCTCTGTGATCATTGAAGTTACTGAATTTTCACTTGATTGTGAATATGGCTTAACTGACTTAATTCCAGATCCTCACTGGTAATTTTTTGGAGTGAAAATGCTGCAGGCCATTAGCACATTTAAAAGTCCTGACACACTTTCAAATTATACTATTCAATTCAATATGTCCTATAAGACAAATATTATTCTTTACCAATACTTTATTGATGACCAACATTGTATATGGAAAATTATTCAGGTTCATTGTAGATGAAAATTACTCGTTTATGTTAGAGTATAAGCATCATAATAGGTTTTACTGCTTACCTTAAGTCTGTGTAATTTAATGACATCTTAAATGGGAGAATGCTCCCGAGCCTCCTTCCATTACTGCAATAGCTGCTGCTGTTGTCGGAAGAAACCCAGACCAAGATGCCATCCCCACAGTGGGATGTGCTATCATAGGTGAGTCTAATGTGAAGCCAAAGCCGAGAACCACAATCTAGAACTAGAGATCAAGAGGAGGTTTAGGAAGAGTGATAGAGATTAGCAGTAATTAAGGCTTCTTCTGTGATCCAATAAGAAAAAATAGAAATTAAAGGAATATTTTTAAGGAAAAATTCTTCAGAGAAAATCAAAAGCATTTTAGGATGGGAGCATGTAGTTCTGAAATACCTTTAACGAAGATCTCTTGGAAGTAACTGTGGTGGATAGAGAGTTTCTTATACATCTTTATTATAATCTTCAGGAGAAATTTAGAGCCATCTAAGTGGAAAGCAGTCCTAGGCCTGCATACGACATCGAATCTGACTTCTCCTCAAGTAGTGACCCGGCTGATAGATCAAATTGTCATAAACCCACATTACAATAAACGGAGCAAGGACAGTGACATTGCCATGATGCACCTTGAATTTAAAGTGAATTACACAGGTAAGGCAAATCACTTTTTCTCATCTCATCTGCCCAAATTAATTCAAAATTAGATTTAAAATATTTTTTATCAGCACCAGTGCATTAATAGTCCATAAAAGTTGAATAATCTGTTATAAAAATTATCATAATTTAAATGGAATTGAGAATGAAAAAGAAACATATTAAATTACCTTCTGGAGCTATTAAAATCCAACTTTCTAAAGAGTTGACCAGTAGAAAAAAACTCTCAGAGCCCTTTATAAACTCAAAGGAGCAGTCTGGGGGAAAAAAAAAAAAAATGGACCATGTTATAATGTATGTCTTCTCCATTTCTCATGTAAAAGAAAGGCAGGCCCATCTGCCACAAGGGCCAGAGTAAGACAAACTGAGAGAAGAGCACATGCTCTAAGAGTAAAGTGAGTAAAAACTGGTCTCCATAGAATAAATTTTAAAGGAGATTAAGTAATATTAATAAAGCGGCAGACAGGGGGCTTCCTCCGAACACCTAGATCCTGTGCAAGTCACTGGAGGAGTGAACTTGATCCTGAAGGGCTCCACTCAACTCCAGCCTCCTCTCTGATGGCCTTGCCAGCTATGGGAAAGTGCTGCTGTGTCCTTGCTCCTAGGGAATTTGGCCTCCACATGTCTTCCAGCACCTCCTGAGGTCAGACAATTACTGTGGCTGGTGCTATAGCCCTGTCCCCGAGGGTGAAAGCCGTATCTTACTTTTTGTCTGCCCTGGGACTTCCATGTAGTGGGTTCTTTAATAAACAGGTGACCTGTAAATTGCTGGAAAAGGGCTTGAAAAGCCAGTGACCAATGCTAATGCTTCCATAAGTGCCTGGTAAAACAATTGCCTAAAAGCTTTTTCAATGTGAGATATAAGGAGAAAATAAAAAAATTAAAAACCCTCAGAAAATTTGCCCAACTTTCTCTTAATTGACCCTAAAAAAACAACCTTAGCAAGACTTTCACAGACCTGGCACTATTTTCTATTAAGTATCACAATTATTTAAAAATCAAATATAAGTGATTCATTCCAGAAGTGCAACACTGTTTACATTACGAAAGAATGATAGGAGACAATGTGGAGGACCCTAAAAGGCCACCAGTGGTACCTAATCGACTGTCAATAAAGCACTGCTCCCAAATGCTTATTTCCCCCCAAGATTGGTGTCTAAAAAATGTCCAGGCTGTATAAAACAAAAGTACAAGTGGTTTTAGATGAAATGTTTAAAGTGATTGGGTTTTAAAACTTGTTAGAAATGCACGTGCATCTATTCTAGTTTATGTTTTGTTTTGTTTACAGATTATATACAACCTATTTGCTTACCAGAAGAAAATCAAGTCCTCCCTCCAGGAAAAATCTGTTCTATTGCTGGCTGGGGGAGGGTGGTTCATGAAGGTAAGTTATCAGACCCGCAAANGTGGTTCATGAAGGTAAGTTATCATACCCGCAAAAAGAAAAGGTTTACTGAAAGAGTATGCTGTCCTGTGACTATTTTCAACATTGTTTTGCAACTCGGATGCTCTATTTTATGCACTATTTCTTAAAGGCACTGTCAGGCTTATATTCATGTATTGTATATTTGTATAGTTAAGAAATTTTTTCCAAATCGTATAGAGCATATTATAAAACTATAATCCTTATTCGAGGGGAATTCAAGCATCCCCAAAACTCAATATCTAATTTTTGTATTATAAACGCCAATAAGGAGAAAAGGTACGTCTGTTAAAATGAATATAACCAAAGGTTTCAAAAGTATACTTTTGTACAGCTCATAGAAGTCTCATCAAAAGCCATATTATTAGCTGTCACATTTCCCAAATCAATAAAACTATCTTTATTTATTATCTAAAGATCTCACAGTCACATTTTCTCAAATGAGAAAGAAATCCCTTCTAGCTTCAAATGCTTATTCTGCCTACTGACAAGAAGACTCAGATNTATCTAAAGATCTCACAGTCACATTTTCTCAAATGAGAAAGAAATCCCTTGTAGCTTCAAATGCTTATTCTGCCTACTGACAAGAAGACTCAGATAGAGCGCAAATCTTACATTGAACAGTATAAATTGATACGCTGTTGATCAATAGTATTATTTAATAGCATGTTTTCCAAACACAGAAAAGATGCATATTAATAACAAACATGCTTTTTTATAAAGGCATTCCAGTCCTTCATGCCCTCTAAGCTTAACTGCAAGTCTCACTGGCGTCCGAATTTCTTATAGGACTTACTCCATCTAGGAGGAGTGTTGACTACTCATTAATAGTTAAGCAAAAAGGAAAGGCATTGTAGTCTGGTGGGAGGACCTGGGCCCTGGAGTCACAACAGATCATAGATCATAGCAACTATATTTGCAAATACTAATTGTATAAGATGTATTTCAATCTTGTGATGAGATTCAGTCCCAGTAGCAAAGCATTCACAGCCAAAATATCCTTACTTCTTGTAAAACAAAGCATAAAGTCTAAGTCATACCCCTCCCCTGATGATTCCGACAAAGGTTCTCCACTACGATCTCATTACGTTGCTGGAAATGCCTCGTGTCTACTGTCCATAAAATGTATTGAAGTCAAAGACTGTCTATTCTTCTATTTCCTCCACTTGAAAAATGTCATGATTTATTTAACTTGAAATCTAAAGAGCAAAGATGATCCCTAGATAGATATTTTCTCTATCAGACTTCAAACTAGAAGCCATTTTTATAACCACAATGTAGACTCTTCAAAACAAATTATCCAATAATGAATAAATTTAAGACTCTTTATTCCACAGGAAATGGGTATTCTTTTTCAGAGCTGATACATATTGTTACTAAAGATATGCATTTAATTGACTTAGGAAAGGTCTCTAAGAGTGGTATGGAGCCAAGAAAAAAATCTGTATCTGAGGTCAATTTCATTTAGAACTAAACAGTCAGATCATGTTTAAATACTTCCTAGAGGATGGCAATTTGAATGAATTTTAAAAACTCTGTCTTATGGTTTCCAGCTACTTCATTTCATAAAATCTCAGTATCCCCCTTTTGAGTATTTGATACTGAGTAATTTTGCTAGAAAAACCATAAGCATGTTCTTTACCAAGAATAAACGAAGTTATATTAGTTGATTAAATTAAGGCAATTAGTAAACTTGAAATAAATTTACTGACTTTTATTTGTGTGAATATATATATATGCTCAATTATTCTCATGGCAATTCATATTGACAAAGAAATATCAAATGTAAGGACACTACTCAGATTTTCCTTAACCAAAGAGTTTTACCATATACCCAACCAATTTTTATTCCTTGACAAGCAACAAAATTGGCTTTGATTTTTATTATAAAATGAAAGTCTCCCACCCATCGTCAATTTTCACAGCATGGATGGCAGTGAGGCACTGAGTTTTCTTCTGCATCTTAACCTCTCCAAAGTAAAATCCATTGTTAAACTTGAGAAGCCATCTGGTGATGTACTGCTGGAGTCACTGGCACCAGCTGGAAATATCCATTTGTACACATCTCCCAACTTCAAGTTCACGGTCATGCTGGTGCTTTGAATAGGCCATGGTTGGAGTGTTTATGCCAAGCAAATCAGCAGGCAGTACCCATTTGGGCTTTTCCCCCTTTGAAAACCAGTTATTAAACATTTACCAACACACCACTGAGTTATACATATGTTACTTTGGATCTAAATCACACACACACACACACACACACACGCACGCACGCACGCACGCACACGTTTCCTGTCTTTCTAGTTGGAAATGAGGTCACATCCATTTTTGCAACAACATTGGCTGTCAGATGTACTAACCCATCTGCAGCTTTCTGCCTCTCTTGAGGAGCCCAATAGAATTGCTAGTTATTAGAAAGTGCTTATCATGGACCTTTTCTGGGCCACTAGACACCTGCTTGTTTCATTTCCCTCCTGGGCTTAGTATTTCAGTGAACAGACATTCAGGTTTCCAGCGGATGAGTCATTTTGTAAGGAGCATGGAAGTATACTCTGCCACAGAACGCCTCCTTTCCCTTCACCTGCACGTGCAGGACAAGCTGAACGCCCGTGGCTCGGGGCACAGTCCATTTGAGCTGTATCTTCTGTTCAGTGTGCACCTGCTCAGCCCCACAGCATCACAAGGAGCTGAATACCACCATAAAGGAGCACTTCAGGTGCCAAATGAAAGCACTTCTGGATTTCTGAGCCATTGCTAATTTCCATGAATGAATCTCCTTGTGTTGATGGGCTTTCCCGCCCCCTGCTCCCCATGACCAATACTGTAAGTTTAAAATTACTGAACATGCCTAAAGACTGTCCACTACTCCTGCTGGCCCTTGGGAGCCAAAGAAGTGCTTTACATCCATTTGGCAAAACCCACAGATGGGCTTTATTATGTACTTTAAAGTACAAGGTTTAGCATTCAGTGCCATTATATATACACACAGTGCTAGGTAATGAGGGCGAACCGTTGAGATAAATAAGACTGATGGCGGCTCATTGACTGATGCTCACAGATCACTTCTGACTGGCTGCTTGTGTTATCCGTTTTGAACAGGTTCTACTGCAGAAATATTGCAGGAAGCTGATGTTCCTCTCATATCAAATGAGAAATGCCAACACCAGATGCCAGAATACAGCATTACAGGAAACATGGTGTGTGCAGGCTACGATGCAGGAGGAGTAGATTCTTGTCAGGTAACTAGATCAAACTCTCACCCTGAGTTTCCAGAAAGCATTGCTGTATAATGATTTTTATTGTTTAACAATGATTCATAAGTAAAAAAATCATCAGGGTCTTAACTTCATTTCTTCTATAAAACTGGGACTTTTGGCTTTTGTGGGCAATTTATATAGTACTCCTTGGTCGACCCAAACATTAGAAACAAAGCTGATTTTTACCAGCAAGGGTTATAAACCAATTGTCCTTAGGGCCTAGGCATAAAATGTTAATGTGGGAGACAGCCAGGCACAATATGCAGTTGTGAGCCTGGGGGTGAGCTGGAGAGTGTACACCTTAGCAACAAGCATTTCTTTTCGAATTTCAATTCTTTAAAACCCTATGCAGACTTAAAACAAACAAAAAATAGGTCTCTCAGGGTCAATTTGGCCTGTCAGCCTCTAACATTCAACCCTGATTTAGAGCATGGTCTAGATGTCTAGTGACCCAAAATAATTTCTGGATGAAAACCAAGCTGGAAGCCTGGTTAGAGCCAGTTTACGCTAACTACTTGCAAGAAGGGAAATAAAGAACTTACTCAGTAGGCTGGTATAACCCGGGGCACAGAAGCTCCTATACTGGAATTTTCATGTTATCTTTGGCATTTTCTTTTAGAGATGTGATAGCTTGCACTTGGTGCCTGTCAATACTGCAATATTTTTTTTTAATACTGCAATATATTTGAAGTATTAATAGCTTTGGATTTGTGTGACCTTCAGAGAAAACTCTTACCTACAAACTACCTTTGAAGAAGGCAAAATGTCTTACCACCTTGAAATAATGTTGCCATCTATTAGCTGCCTGAAATTCACATACACTCGACAAATAAAGAGTAACCTGCTGGATTTTAGAATCATCATTAATTTTTAGGCGCAGCATGGAGTAATCATGAAGAGCATGGATTCTGTGCTCAAACTGCTCTTATTTGACCCTATTGGCAAGGCTTTGGACAAGTCACTTAGGTTTTATTAAGAGGTTTAGATAAGATAACACATTAGGGCACTAAGTAAGCACTAAGATATTAATAGTTCTATTTGAAAATTAATAAAATATTAATGCACTGACATCTATTGGATTTGATTACACCTGATAGCAGCACTGAACAAATAACACACAAATGCGGAGGTAGCGATTTATACTGTAGGAAAATGGTTTCACTTGTTAGAGTGTGAACAATTTGTTACCTATATTAACACAGAAATGTCATAATAACTTGAGTTGATACCAGACTTTTTAACAGACACTTAAGCATCTGTATATGTACCCTCCAGTTAAATCGATGTCTTCAGTCATGTAAACTAAACCTTCAGCCTAGCTCTACATTTATTCTGCTTTGATGAACACTGGCAAAGTCAAGACAATAGGGTAGCTTTCTTCCAGTTTAAAATTTATCTCTGGATCTTATGCTTTCCTTTAAAAATGAAAAGTGTGCAAAAGGTAAGATATATTGTCACTGAGAGGGAAATCTATAGAATTATTGTTCAGGGGGAAATCAGCTGTACAACTTCAATTACAGTTAATGGGAGTTATGGGGCAGACGCCTCATGAATGAGGTAGAAAATATGACGGCCAATGCTACTGATGTTCAGGTTACATTAAGCCAGTAACACAAGCCAGATCCCTGAAACCATGTATTTGGCTCTGATTTCTAGAGTTTAAGCACGCGACTCATTAGCAAGTAAGAAAGCTCCCACACAAGGCAGTACCTGTAAATAAGTTACCGTGATTGAGAGCTCAATAGTCTAAAAAGTCATGATTTTTTTTGTTCGACTTAATACTAAGTTACGCAAGAGGAGTGACTGATAAAATAGGAATACATTATTTGAAATTACGAAGATGTTATGATTGACACATCACTTGACTAAGTTCTTTGCAGCATTATTTCCTCCCCTATAGTGTCAGAGATCTTGCCTTATTAGTCGTCCACACGTTCTTGAGGATCTTTTAACTCACCAAAGGCTCGCATGGGCGAGGCAGTTGTCTGGACTTTAAGGCACAGTGAGTGGCTGTGGAATGTCCTCTCTACATAAAACTAAGTGACTGACACAAAGAGCAAACTTGCTTTGCTCACCATTCAAAGCCTTGTTCTCTAGCAGGGGTTTTCTAAGTGTGGCCTCTAGTCCCGCAGAGCACTATTATCTGAGAAGGTGCCATCAATGCAAATTCTCAGGCCCCGGCACAGGCCTGCGGAATCAGAAACTCTCAAGGTGGAGCCCAGCAAGGGGTTTTTCTCACATCATCAGATGATTCTGATGTACTTGTTTAAGAAATACTACTCTAAATAAAAGTGGCCACCAACGTTTACACTCGTCAAAGAAGGTAGAGATTTTGTTTTTCTTTGCAAATATAGCATCTAAGGGGAAACATACATTTTAGGCTAATACCTTATGTTCTGGAAATTCACTCATATTTTCAAAGTTCTTACACATCCCTGAGATAGTGGGAGAAGGAACTGTCTTCATCAGACACATCAGAAAATTAAGACCAGGAGAGATTATATAACAGAGCTGAAGTGGAGTAATTAGAAGATGGGAAGTGATAGAATTAGATGTCGGTCTCTCAACCAGACAGACCACCCAGTTGTTGGGCACCAAGCCTGCTTGTGGATCCTTGAATAGTGTGAACTGGGTAATTTAAAATCCTTGATCATGTCATCAGTGTCTGGTTTTTGCTATTTAAAAAAATTAAAATATTTTAGAAAACATGGAGAAAACCAAATGGCTCTTTTAAACTATCAAAACAGTTGAGGTTTATTTTTAATAACTGCTAAGCCACACTTTTGAGTCTGTTTACTCTCGCCTTGGGTCGATAGTGTTCCATAAACATTTCTGAACCCGTATTGTGGACTAAGGGCTTAGGAGGCAGAAATGAAAACTGTAGTCCCTGCCTTCAAACAGCTGGAAACCTCTGTCACACCTAGAATAGAGGTAACCTATGTTTGCCAATGCAATTTATGCTCCTCTGCACCCGAGAGAGAAAAGGTGCTTTCATACACATTTTCCCCCTTAAATATAGGTCCCAAAGGTAGTAAAGAATGGGGTAAAAAGACTCCCAGGGTATTTCTCACATCAAGCCTGGGTTAAAATACTCTATTGTGTCAATGATTTCAAGCAAAATACACAAGGCTTTAAATGCTTTCATAAATATATAAAAAGGCAGATTAATTTACATTTTTTACACACTTAACATGAAAAAATACTTGTCAATTTTGTCATTAATTAGTGGCACTATATGTTTGCATTATGTTCATTTGCAGTACAGACGTGCAAATAAAATCTATGTAATTAACTCTACCAGGATCTGCTATAATTAATATTTATGAAAATTAAAAACACTTCCATTGAAATCTAAGATGAAAATATGTGCAGTAATCACTAGAAATTATATCACAGATTAGCCTCTTTCAGTTGAAACATTAAGTTTTTTTCAAATCTGTTTGCTGAACACTGAAAAGTTAATGCTACCCAAGAGAACAGAAATCAATTTTATGTGCTGAGTTTTTAGTTTTTCTCAAGCACAGAATATGGAATAATTATCTTTTCCATAGATCCCTTCATAAATGTAGCATTTTAAAAATTACACATAAATGATTCCTAAGTTGTCTTAGCGTTTCTCTGAGTTCTTACTGAGCAGCAAAAGGTTCCCATTCTTGACCTAGAGTGATGGTGACCTAGAGTATACAGGTGACTTGCAATTAAATCATATTTTTAATCTTTATTTCTGAATTGATTTGTTAAAAACAATTTTATATATTAATATCAATTGACCCACGCACTTACAATTATCTTTTGTAATCTACTATTTAGGGTGATTCAGGAGGACCATTAATGTGCCAAGAAAACAACAGGTGGTTCCTGGCTGGTGTGACATCATTCGGATACCAGTGTGCGCGGCCTAACCGCCCAGGGGTGTATGTGCGGGGCCCGAGGTTCACAGAATGGATACAAAGTTTTCTCCACTAGAGTGTCTCCTAAACCAAACACAAAAGGTTCCCATTCCACTCTAACAAGTGTGAAAATTGAGAATTTTGTAAAAAATAGTTCCCAAAAGCCATTATTCTTACCTAAGCCACTGAAATGCTGGGAACAAACAAACAAAACTAATTAATCTCTACAGAACTAAGTAACTTTAAAATCATGCGCTTCGGTTTTATTGTGGACATCTATTCTTTCACAGATAGAATTTCCTTTGTTCTTAGTCATTATGTTTGTCATGTCCTCTTATTTAAAGGAATGTTATTTTAAATCATAAATTATACACTTAAGACAACTTAAGCAAAAGAACTGAAATAGACTGTTTTGCACAAGGTACGTTACTGTTTGAAATAAACTGCTGGAAATTATCCAGCGCCAGCTGCAATTGCTACTATCAGAAGTTCAGTAGTCTTCCTGCTTTTCTACCCAAATGTATTTCCAACTCATCCTGAGCATATTCCTAATGGTTTTCCTGCTCAGAAGAAGTACGTATTGTAAGCTTATGTCACAGACCTGGCCTAACTAGACTGCACATTCCTCTCAAATAAGCTAATCAAACGGCAAATGCAAGTCTGCATATAGCCCTAGTGTCAAAATAGAAGGTACATTACTGATATTATAGTTCTTTTACTGGATCCTTTAGTACCTGGGTTATTCATACAATCCATTTATTTCAAGCTGGTATTTTTTAATTTTCAGAAAATAATTACACATATTTAAGAAGTGAAACTATTAAAAATGTCTTTTTTCCAATATATGTGTGTTACAGTGGGTGTTTCTCACATGTGCAAAATTTAAACACAGCTGAATTGCCCATTAGAAGGCCAAAAATGTGGAATAAATGAATTTGTTTCACTGCTTTAATCTCTTGGATCATTTCCAGAATAAGTGTAAACTTCAGTTTCTCACACTACACAAAGCATATTGACTTATTTGGGAAGACAAAATTCATGCTTACTTAATGCACACACACATTCTTGAATGAGTGTATATGGTCCAAAGTAAAAGAAGGTTTAAAGGAATCGAGAGACGAAAGACGGGATCAATCACCGTAGGTTGTCCTGATGGAAGAAACGACGAGGCACTGGCGACCACTTGGTGAGCAATTGTGGAATTTATTCTTAGGCCAAAAATCAGGAGTCCCTGAACACACTATTCTTTTGAAGACCTTTCCAAGTACCTGTTCCTGATAGCTAGGAAGGATGGAACAGCAGGGGTAGGGTGTGCTGTTTGATTTTACTACCTGAATCTTTTCCAGAACCACCTGCATTTTAAAACACATGTGAACTATGCTCTGAAAAGACAAACACAACAGATACACACACCATGTAGTCCATTTTATTTTTCAAAGGTCAGCTAAAATTTTAAGAAGCCCTTAGGACCGTCTCAGGGCCATCTTCGAATAAGAGGAAAGTGCACTGTCCCACTCCCAGTAACTTACGAGTTTAGTAATTAATGCCAGAAGAGTGATCCAGGCCTGGATCAAGATAAAAAGCAAAGCAAGGCCTTTCCCCATGGCTCTGTCTCCCCTGCATGCAGCTGTTGTAGTCGTTGGAGGCAGAGACAATGGGGGGAGCCTAGTCTCCTTCCATCGGACCCCAGTTAAATGAAGACATTGGCAGTGGGAGCTTGGTGGGAAGAGGTAGATGCCAGCAGCTGGTCCCTCATTTTGCCCAGAAAGGTGGGTAGCCAAGGCACAGAGGAGTGCTAAATGTGGGGGGGCCTAAGCTTGGGGCGCAGCTGCCGTTCCCGAGGCCTCCCAGCAGCCGAAGAGGGGCCGAGGCCCGCTAATTTCTATTTTGCCGTTTAGTTTTGCCAACCAGCTCCAGTGGTGAATTGCCTTAACGAGAGCTCTTTAGTATCGAACCGAAAAGGACTGACAGGGAAAAAATGAGGTGTAAAATGCTCTATGACCACAACTTTCGTTCCCTCCACCCTTAAACGGTAATTTGTTTTCATCTGCATGTATTGATGCGAACGTGTCTGTAGTTTGTCCACTTGAGAGACTTAGACAACACGAATGATCATTCTCCAGAAACAAGAACTTTTATTTGGTTAAAAGGAGCACAGGGACATGTGAAGACCAGATAGTTACAACTCTCTCTTGAGATGAAGGAGCCACGGGCATTGAAGAAACCAGGGGATAAGACAGAGGAGCCCCAGTTTACTTTCCCAGCCAAACCCTCAACAAACACACGATGATCGATGCCCTCCAGTCATTTTTCACACTAACTCACAGCTTCTTTCCTCACTAAAATGTTAGTGTGCTGGCCTTACCTCCACACCAATGTGACCACTCACCTGGTCCCAACTGTGAAGCCCCTTTAGGTGCCGACAGAGGCTAAACAGAACTAGAAAAAAACCTTAGACAAATGATGCCACAATCTGCCTCCAGTTTTATCCCCAAACCCCAAATAACCCTCGTTTTGTGGTCAAAGGAGGAACCAAATTGATTCCAGAACCCTCAGCGAGCTATTTGTGGTTATATAGGCAACATGTGAAGACATATGATTTATATTGTGTTTGCCACTATTTTCGTTCTAGATTGAGTACATAATTTATACAATTATTAACAAAGTTATTATAAAATCTGTTGAGTTTTAAACTAAAAATAATTGTAAGGCACATGTCTTGCACAATTAAAATTAGACAATTCTTGCCTCTAAGTGAAATATTTGAGTGGATTTATACCACAGTTAATGAAATAGCTTCTTATTTCTGAAGAGATTTCTTATACACTGTCTGATCCAAAGCAGAGGAACTGAAAGATGAACCATTTCTAGAAAGGAAACTTTTTTCTATGGCAATGTATTTATGTGTTTGTGAATTCAGTTGACCACAATGATAAATTTCTTTAATCAAAACAGCATGTATTGAAAAATGAAACACCATAAAAATAAATATAACAGTCCATTTTTATCAAACACTTACGTAAAGGTAAAATATTTTTGCACACTGTAAATTTCAATACAATCTACATTGCATTAACTAGATTACAACCTATGAAAGGTAAAAGAAACAAAAATAACTGCTTCCAACACACATACTTCTGATGTATTGAGAGCAAGTTTATCTGCATGGTCCATTCCACTTACTTGAAGTTTGGGTGCATCACTTAGCAAAATAAGCATGTCTCACTCCATTATTAGCACAGCATATTTTGTAAATGAAATAAACATAGAAAACTCATTTTAATATTTGCCTCAAGAGGGAGCTTACAGTTCATCTTGTAGATCCTCTGAGATTCAAGCCATTCCAAGCTAAGGTTCTGACGCCATTCCTTATACAGATCCAGAGTTACAGAAGAAAACATTGTTTTCTGGAGCCAATTCAATGAAACCTTACACTTCCATGCCGCTTTCTTTTCTCGTGCTCTTTGAAATCCACAACGTGGACTGGTTTGGGCTAGTTTTTGTTCTTCCTTTACTGGAAAACACAAGAAGAAATAAGTTCAATATATGAGACCTCTCATCAAACTGGGCATGTCATGGTCCAAGTGGAGGTATGTATCCCAGAGCTTATTATAAAAGGGTCCTTCTTCTCTCACCAGCCTATTTTTTCATTCCTACAAAGAATTCTAGATTATTCCAGTATGCAAAGATGGTAAACAGTTCATATGAAATAATGAAAAAGCAGAATAAAATAGGTGGTTCTCTGTTGGATCCTTCATAGTTTAGAACTCTAGACACACACACACACACACACACACACACACAAATGTGTCTGACACAATGCCAACATTTTCATTGTAATCACCAGTAAATCTTCATTTTCCTTGGTCTATGATTTTTGAGATGTTGCTTTTTGAATATTTCTCCGTTAACATATGCTGTATTGAATGCCAAATCATTCAGTAGTGCTTTTCTCCTAAGTATAAGGACCCCTCCCATCAGCTTTGGGGTCCTAAATTTAAGTCACCTAATCCTCGGAAGTTTAATATTATTTCAGTCTCTGAAAAACAATGTAGATTCAGGTGCTAATAACTTATGGGTGTCTGAGTTTCCCTAGATCTGAGATTGAACTTCACTCTCAGATGGAGAGTTCGGGACATCAAGTCCAGCCTATGCCTCGGGCTGGGCTGTCTTCAACTCTCCATAAAATAGCCAGTTCTCGGGCTCCAGGAAAAGGGCCTGTTCCTCAATGTCCGAGTCATCCTCTACCAGACTCTGCTCAAGCTCTGGACTCCTTTTGCTCTAGTTTCTTGAGAATGAGCCCTCAGCTGCACCACTGACCACGTTCTGTCCCTGTGGGTTGTGCTCAGCATTTCCTTCCTCCCACAGACACCCCTTCCAGCAGCACCCCTTCCAGCCTCCTACCCACAGGTATGCCTTCCACCCACACCTTTCACTCACCGTCTGCCTGACCTGGCAGAGCTCCTTCCAAGAAAAATTAGAAAAGAACTCTTTCTAAACAAGTCTGAGCAATACATTTTTATAGTATTACTTAACTGACTTCCATTTAACTGTGAATTTGTTACTAACAAAATAATATATTCTATTTATATGTTTTGGAGGTCTGCATCCAAATAAGTAAGATCAGCACATCTTTATCTAATAAGTCATCCAACACGAAAGGAAAATCAGTCCAGCAAAGTTGATCAAAAACATGAAAACTTTTTAATAATGAAAAAGATAAGGTTAAGTTATTAATGTAGTCTTTGTGTAGCATTAGTATGGCCTTTAAGAGTTACTTCCAGTTAAGGAAACAAGAGTTATTCTTTTGAACATGACATGGAATGAGAGAAACCATCCTGTGTACCAGATTGGAATTTAAACTTTCTGCAAGGCCCTCAGATGAGAATGGAGTTGAGTCTTTGATGAAGTTTCTCCTTGCTTTCCTGGAAGAAAGGAAAAGGAAGGATCTAAGAACGAATGAATTGGCACTACAGCTAATGCCAGCATCTAGAGGTGCTCTATTCTGCTTTATTTTCTCACTCTGAGAATTTCAAACAGTGAAAACGCCACAGATCTGCAAGATGGGAACACCTGGAAGGCTTCTGAAGGAATAGAGTCTCTACAATAACACGCCATTTGGAAGAAGGAAAACAAACTTTAGAGAACTCTGTCACTGGCACGTGAGGAATATTTATCTTAGAAATGAGAATGTCTACGTAATATTTTTCAAGTTATTTTTTTTCAAGCTGACTTGTTATTTACAGTTCTTCCTTAACAGTTTGGCTGGGTTATGGGGGATTATATCAAATCCTACCTCTACATCATTGCTTTCCAGAATTGCTTTCCATCTTTCCGTAGTCTTAGGAATTAAGGGAAGAAGCTAGATATTTACTATTGTCTGTATTCTGTACAAAATATTGAAAAACAATTTAACTGTGTTTTACCTATACATTGGAAAGCCGAGAGGAAATAAAATGTAGTATTAATTTGCCAGGTTTTATTTATTATTATCATTCAAAGTGTCTTGCTTAAACAGTCAATAAATCACAGGCTGTATGCTTTTTTAAACGTATGTGAAATTTAGAGTTGACATCAATTTGACTTTTCTCTGGGACTTTTGTTGCTTAGTGGATTCTTTATGGTTTATTTCAGGAAAAGAAGAAGAATAATTAACATCAAGTGAAAAATGATGTATTTACAGGTCATTCCACGATGAGGGCACTCTCCCAATCAATTTCTATTGGAAACACTCGGACAAAGAGATCTAGTCCAGTGATTTTCAACCTATTTCATCTTATGGCACATAAACTAATTACTAAAATTCTGCAGTACACCAAAAAATATATTTTTTGCCGACCTGACAAAAAAATTGGTATAATTTCGATTCATTCACACTGGATGGCTACTGTCGTGTTGGCCGTTGTCATTTTTTTAATTTGACAATCTAAGGGAAAAGAGGTGAGAGCCTCTCACTAAATAGTCCAGTATTGCATGTTTTAAAAATTCTTGCCGCACACCAGTTGAAAATCGCTTGTCTAGACTATTCTAGCAAACATGCTCTTATTTAAATCCAACATCTTTTCCTTTTCCCTTTCATACATACTTATATTTACTATATTAATTATTTTAATTGAATTGACAAATTGATACACATGGAAAAATTTTACATCTATCTCAAGGGTATGGATAAATAGATATAATACTCCCAAGAATCTGGCGGTTAAAATGTGTCATTTTATTTCAAGCTGCCTACTAAAAAGTGACCTATTTTTAACATTGTGCTTTATTTCCTATACTTAAAAGATCCTTTTGAAACAAAACAAAAGGCTATGACTTGAAATTTTGAAAAGATAACTACAAAGTACAACTATAAGAATTAAGTTTTGCATTCAACTTGAGGTCAAGGTTGAAAGGTTTAGCATTAATTCTTACACTTGATAAACAAGGGATGGTATAGTTGCATACGTTGCAAACTTACAAGCATTCAGATTTCAGACCCAGCACATACATCAGCTATGAGCCCCGAGGCAATTATTTACCTTTTATGCAGCATCTGGAAACAGCAGGTTCCAAAAGCAACCAGTATCAATAGGAGCAGTGGGATTGTTGGTATAACAACATAAATTAGATTGGGAATTATGCCTACAAAAGTAAAACAGTCTTAGTGTAAAAAGACAGGTGAGGCAGAATTCTAACACCAAAGATACATAAAAGTTTTCCAAACATTTAAGGTAAAATAAAATTATTATCAATAGATTCTAAGCAAAGTTCTTCCTTAAATACTAAATAATCTAATGTAATATAATTGTTAAAAGTAAAAAAATCTTACTGCACTGGTTGCCATGCTCTTATTCAATGTCCATATTTCCAAAAGTATTATTAAATCTGCTATTCAGATAGGGGCTAGTATTCATAGTGTATTAATAATCCTAGCTATATCACTTCACTAATCCTTCTTGGTTCTTAGAGAACCAAGCACTGATTAAAAAATAATAATCATTATTAAAATAACTGTTGATTTCTTGGGCATGTAATCACCCTGACCAATAAGTTCAGTGCCATGGTGATATGCAAGATTCCCAGGGATTAAACCAAAAATATGTAAATATTAACTGATGATATAGTCATAACCCAGAGACACAAGACTTCAGAGGCATGAAGACTTGATCTTAATTAAATTCTAAAATGAGTAATTTTTAAATCCTGTTCCATCCACACTTGATCATGTTGGATATTCTTGGTAAAATAAAAAACTGAAGTCTCAGATAGCATAAAATGACTTTATTAAACACTTTTTCACTGTCATAGGGGGAAAATATCCCCAATGTAATTATTTACTGATAATCTTTAATTAGGTTTAGATGTTCTGAATGGTTTAAAATCAGGCATCTGAAAAATGAAGAGCACTTCATTTTAATATCATATCCATACAAAAAAAACCCCACAAATTGAAAACCATGCATTTAGCTAGCCAATCAAAAGCCATCAGTATTAATCTAAATAATACTGACCAAAGTGGACCAAACTTAGGACAAACTACCCATTTAACTGCATATCGCTTCCTTTGTTAACACGAGAAGCTGAGGTCCAGTGACGGGTATTTTGAGGGTAATTTGCTATGCTTTCAGCAACTCTTGAGCCTCCATCAAGTAATAGGTGACTTCAAGAATTTTAAAAATTCACAAAGTATTTTTTTCTTTTCAAAATATCATCATGATTCTTTATATATGTTAATAAAGAAAAAGAGACAGTATTCCCTCCTCTTTCATGGATTTTGGATTGCCTGCAGAAAGATTTTGAGACTTTGGGTCTTTGGCTCAATCCTCACAAAGCAACTAGGATAAACCAACATTTCTGTCCAGTTGGCATAAGGCCATGCTAAAATGATTTCTGACTAACATGCAATTTGCATTGGGATTTCATTGTTTCTTTTGCAGGCAGTGGTATATTAGAAACAGCTGGGTTGAGAGTTCAATGTATGCATTCTTTCCACCTTGCGGTTCAGCGATATCACTTTGGTAGCTTGAAATCAGCCAGGGAGTATTTACATCACAGAAAATTCCAGAGTCTACAGATCAGGCTTTTTATTTTATACTCACCTCACCCCAGCCAATCCTTAAAAAACATACCAGTATACTTTTAGTACTAGATACATCCAATCAGAAGAAAACAAAAAAATAGGTTCTCACATGCAAAAACTAGCTTAGCATCATTTGTTCTAACCTGGTTCAAAAGTAAATTTCCATAGGCCCATATTTACTGCACCACTTCACTAAGAAATAAGGGAAGTTGGGGCCAACTAGAAGCAGAGTTTAAATGTACAGTTTTTGTTCTTGATAAAGGAGTTAAAGACACGGGAATGAATTACCTGCTTCAGTAACAACCACATTTTGATGGGTGTCTCCTGGTTGGTTTGTAAAATATGTCTTTTCTCCAGGAGCTGTTGGATTAATCTCTGTAGATTATAAGTACAGACATCATATGAAATGATAAACAAGAGAAATACAAACATAGAGGAAATAAGTTTATTATAAAACCACATAAAAATCAGTGTTTTGACTTCTGAACCATTTATAGCTAAGAATTATATTTTGAATTTAAGTTTATGTGAAACTGTCTAACTAGAAGTCAACATTTAATTATCTTTAAATCGAGCATCCACTTCATGAATCCTTGCAACCATTACTGCATTGCCTACCAACAGTGTGTCTGTTACAGGCAATCATGCCAAAGCAGGCAGGAAGCTAGGCAAAGACAAGCAAGATTCAGTGACCATGAGAATGTGAGCCATGAACTGCAATTCAATGGCAAGCAAAGGTGATTTTGGTGCTAATATCAGTGCAATATTTAGGTTTCTCCTCACAATAACAATCAGCAAAAGACTGTATATGGATTGTGTTTGGAATTGATGGTTCAAATAATAATGTTCTAAGCAAGTGTCTGTCCTATACAAATAATGCCATCCTTGTATTTACTTTCCAATAATGTCTACGCCTTTAAAATATAATAATAAACTAAGGCTTTTGAGCTGTTTCTTTCCCTGGTTTTATGAGATGAAATCTTCTCAATTGCCATGCCCTTAAAACATGTTGAACTCTCTTACCATGACCTGGTACTGCTCTATCACCTAATTTTTTTTCTAGGTCCCATGTGTTAAATTAATAGTTCAGTGAATATAAATTAAATTAGTAAGAAAATACTCTGTAGATTTGTTTTCATTTGTTCCAAAAATACAATTTCCTGTTTATTTTTATCAAGTGATGGGAAATAAAGGACATATATAGCATCTTATATTAGTTTCAGACTAGCAAATCATTTTAATGTAATGTTTACTCCTCTAATTTGACCACACAGTCTCTATTCATTGGAAGTTTAATCATATACCATCCTATAATAATATTTATTATTCTTGTATACATATTCTATAGACCTACAGAATAGATATGCCACTCAGGGGACAATAATAAAAATGATGGAATGATTGCTAAGAGAGTGAGCAAACTCAGAAGCAAATTATTCAGTTTCTGCTTAGCCAGGTTAATTTTTTACTACTTTGGATATGATTAGTCATGCGCACATGGTATGCAGGAGCAGAAAGAGAAGACTAAGTTCAAATCACACAGTAGTCCTGGTATAATTGGAGAATAAAGTTCAAAATAATTAGTGGTATAGTTTGTAAATTTTAAATAGTCCCACTGCTTAATTCTCCAAGCCCCTCACCACTGAGAAGCTAACCACTCACCAGTAAAAAGCACTGGCTCTATAAGCAAGAAATTTAATGAAACCAATATCCTTCATAAATAAAACACTAAGCTCGAAGAAGGTTGACTAAACAGAAAATAGTTAAAGATGAAAATATTTAAAGCAAAGTAAAGAATAAAATTTCTAAGTACATTAATAAGATCAACTAAAACTATGCATGTGTTTCAAAAACAATAAATACATAAAATAATGTTCACAAAGTACAGATATTTGAAGATTTAGGTAGAATATAGGAGATAAAGGAAGAAATAATTTTATGTCTACAGTGTTCTTCCATGAGTAATATAAATGTAGATTATCTAATACAAAACAAGTCAAGAAGATTCTGGGGTTATAGTGTCCTGAATAATGTACCTAAGAAGGCAAATATAAAAATAAAGTAAATAAATGTACTTAGAGTCAAAATCGTTCATCTAAAAGCTTAGAGAAGAAGACAATATTGTATTTAAAAGATTCTACAATATACTGTTTCATTTAATAGTTTCGAGTACATACAGCTGCAAATTTAAACTATCAGAGAACTTAAACTTTATATTTTTAAAGGAAAAAAAGACAAAGAACATAAGAGCGTAACTGATTTGGCTTTGTAAAGGCTTCTAAAAGGGTAATGATGGATTTAGCAACCTAGGGGTTGCTGAAGAATAAGCTCACCAGGGAGAGAAAGTTGGCTAATATACTCAAGAGCAGGATAAACATGAGAGAAGAGTAAACCTAATCCAAATAATCCCCGTGCTTTATGGTCTTATGACAAAAAGGAATCATGTATTTTCAAGACAATAATGGAAATAGCAGCACTTGATTATAACTGCCTTCCATGAACACATGAGGTCAAGCAAATAGAAGACTTAAAATGACACTTCCAAACACTGAGGAGACAAATAGCCAAAAAATTAAAAAATAAAAAATCTCAAAGCCTAAGTATCTAATTTGACTTTCTTACATTATTGTTAAAAATGAGTTTGCACAGTTCTGATTAACCTCTCTTTTGGTCAAATATCAATTCAGTTGAGCTGTCTTTTCAAAGTAGTTCAATTATACTGTTTCCACAGGAAACCACACTGGTGTAACTCAGGTCGGTGCAATCTTCTCACTTGCTGCGTGTGCCAACAAACTGGAGACATCGAGCGAAAACTCAGTAAGGAGGCATATTTCAAAGAACAAGGATCATGGCAAGGACATGGCACACGCCCCTACTTTGCTTCACGATGGGTGGTTCAATGAGATATGACCAGTCTGACATTCACTGAGGAGCACGTGCCAAGTATCATGCCACGAGATAATAAGCTGGTGTTCCAGGAGAGGGTTCCTTTGATCCCTTAAATTCCCCAGATAATCACCTAAAGGACTATTGCTCAGGTGTGTAAATCTATAGGTGCTTTGGTGACACACCTCCCTCACACACGCTATACTAAATATTTAAAATATTTAAAAATAGCTGTTTATTTTTCATTAAATGAATTTCTAAAAATACCATTTGACCTTAATATTGGAGATAATTATTTTCTCTTAAAGGCACCTCTCCAGATGTTTCTAGTTATTCTCTAGTTCTATTTCTAGTGACTGTAGTGTCTATTTGTAGTGACTCTAGTTTCTATAGTTTCTAGTTACTCCGGTTCTATTTAACTCATTGGCAGTCTGTTCTGTAGCACACAGTGTGCTCAGTACACCGAATAGGACAAGTTTTTAGAGTACGTTCATGTTTCACAGCAGAAAAGCAAAAAGAGCCAAAGGTAGCAAAGCTTAAAGATAAAACTTAAGCAGACATGTACAAAATCTGCTATACCAACTTGCAAGCCACCCTACCTGGTTCGTACTTGCAGATGTAATTGTGCTTCATGTTGCACCTGTCGTCGTTCCACTGGTAGAGGTAGGGGCCTCCAAGGCCAGGGTTGGCCGTAGGTTGATGATACATCACCACGCACTTTTCGCTTCCACAGGAAGGTTCGTCCGTATACCAGTTTCTGCCAATACAGGGTGGGGGAAACGGAGGTTTACAGTTGTTCGTGTGGAAAACAATACGATAATTACTAAATAATAACACAAGAATAAACTCTGTGCTTCACGTTCTCACAACTATAAACCTCCTTTTGCCCCACTCTGTATGGAGCAGCAAGAACACATCTAGACTATTTCCCTGCTCTATTCTGACATCCTCTGCAGGTAGAAGAAAGCCCCCTGAGGGCCCGACTCACCGGTACTGGGAGCTGCTCCCGTCGGACCACCTGTAGAGATCCGGGCAGGCACCAGATGCTTGGCCCTCTCCACTTCTCCAAAGGCCTATCCAGAAATCACCGTCAGAGATCCCTGTGCCCGGCTTTGTCAGGTTCTGCAACATGCTTTCTATCAGCTTCTGTTCTGCTTCATTCTCAAGGCTGAGAAGGGCCCCGCCCTCACTCTCACAAGCCAGGCGCGCCTCCTGAAAGCTCACTCGGCTGGACAGCTCGTGGAAATAGGCCATTTTGTAGCAGGGGTGTTTGTAGTCAGCAAAACACACCTTTTGGCCTGAAAAACAAAACAACAAAAAAACACCAGGTGAAGACTTAAATACATAGGCAACCAAACAAAAAGGTTGATTTTTTTTAAAAACTCTTTTTAAAAATTTTATCTTTATTGTTGAAAGTATTACAGATATCCCCCTTTTTCCCCCATTGACCCCTCCTACCCTGCACCTGCTCCCCCCCAGGCCTTCCCCACACTATTGTCTGTGTCCACGGGTTATGCACATATGCATATAAGTTCTTTGGTTAATTTCACACACGCCTACATATTAAGCAGAATGAACTTTCCTGATGACATAACTACAAATAGTCATGACCATATCAAATCATAATGAAGCCATAGTCTACAGGATTTAGCTAACTGTACCAGCAATGGAAGTTTTTGTTTACACCCTACCTGTTTTACCATCAAACATGTAGGCCAAGATGACAGAGACTCACCCCAATGGCCATGCTCTTTTATTTTCACATCACCTTCCTTGGTTCATTTCTGATCTCTGCCTGTCGACTTCAAGCACTGCCACAAACCCCTCTCTGTCACTGTTCCTTGTTTCCAACCTGCTTGTCCATGACCTACATACCTCTCTTAGTCACTGTCTGATTTCAGCTCAGGGTTAGCCTTGGAAAACAGACTGTTTTAACATTGTATGTAAAATTAAGTAAACTGACTTTATGCTAAGAAATTCAGGCACATCTTTACTGCTTTCTTATGATTCATCTGTATGAACATTATTCTTGTTGAGATTGAAGGCTTTTTCCACTATGTATTTAATTTTGTAGCTGATCAAGAAAAGTTGTCAGTAGTGGAGGATTTGGGGGGTGGGTATTATACCTGAACACTGGCTAAAAATAAAGCATTCAAGCTTTGCACTTGTAATTACAGTATATCACACTGAGCCAGTGTTCAGAATGGTATCACATCCATTCTCCCCCCCGAGTCAGCAATTAACGACCTATGATGACACTTGGAGGCAGGAGGGAGCGGAAATCAGAAGGCCATTACCCTCACAACAGTGTTTGAGTGACAAGCATTCAATAACTTGACACAAGCAGAGCACAGCCAGCTAATAAAATGGCAGCAGTTGTCCTCAGTCTCATGAACCATGATCTGGACCCAGGAGCAACACACTGAATAATATGAAGAAATTAGCATACTGCCCCAGGTAATTATTAATGAAAAATAACAGGCTAGTATGGATGCCCACAGGAAACTGGAATTAAAGAGACTTCAAATGGACAAATCAGTCTGACTCATTACTTGAGAGAGGATTACAGACGTCCCAATGATTGAGTCTAATATAATTACTATTTTAAAAAATGTCTCCTAGTTTATTATTAGGCTTTGTGATGACTTCATTATTAAAAAGTGTTCTTTCTGGTAATATTCTAGCAATGCCGTTAAGCCTAGTGATTTTATGCCTATATTTTTAAATCAAGCTCTGTTTCAATTTTCATCTCCTACATCTTTTCCATATTTCTGTTTCAAAATATCTCTTAATTGCATTCCCTTGAGGTTTCAATATGTTTAGTTTTTCATTCTGAGAAAACTCAGAATTGGATTTGATTCCAGCACTTTTAAAATAGTAAACTTGTCCAACAAGATTGTTTTGCAAGATGTCAAAAAGCCGAATTAAAAAAAAAAGATTAGCCAGAAATTGTAATAAGTAGAAATTATTTATGTAACAAATACGCACATTCAGAGGATGCACAGGTATGATTTATATGCTAAAAGCATCTGCCTGTTATCTTTCATGTATTAAAAAATAAATGCAACACGGATTTATTCTTTATGGTGAGGGTACAAAAATGATAAGACTAAACTTGTTTATAAAATTAAGATAGCACTTCTAATCAGATGCATGAGAGCTTTCGGTGTCATGAGAAAATTCCTAATTTACTATTAGGTATTAGCAAAGTAGATAAATGTTAGTCTGTAGAGGAATAATAGTAATAAGAGCAAATCCACAGACAGGGATTAGACTTCACAATTAGCACCGCATGCACCCTGGATGGTGGCCAGCCTGACACTCCCTGCGGCTGTGGGTGAGGGAGCGGTCCAGGGGTGCTGGGGGAGACGGGGACTGTGGCGGCTGCACTGCAGGGGAACTCTCAGGGAATCAGGCCAATGACCAACTACAGACAGACACTGACTCCAACGTGTATTGATTGAATATAGGCTGTGTCCACAGATTTCGAAGTGAAAAGTCACTAGCAGTTCAGATGCAGCAGGCAGTTTTCAGGAAATTCTGGAAACATTGCAGGTTTTTAATGCTCTATATATATATCATAGTCAGTTACAGCTGACACTGTAAATTTCTTTACATCCAATTGTACTTCCCTACTGGTCTCCACCTTATTGGGCAAGTTGAGTCCAAGTTGCAGCAAAAGAAGCCGTTGAACTGCTCACTGTCATTTCAGCTGACCACATGCAGCTGTGATCGCAGTGGAGCTCCAGCAGCTGGGAAACAGATGTTGCCCTGATTCCCAGAAAAGTCCCATTAATACGGATCTTCTGGAAGCAACTTTTCCCACTTCTGTAAAGGCTGGTATTCCTAGAGAAGCATTATGATTACCTCCCTTCTCGTTCTGTGAGCTCAGAGAGAGAATTTCCTTTTCTCTGACTTTTCAATGTTATAGTCAGGTAAAGTCTCCCACCCAGCATTTTGAATTAGAGGAATTCTAACCTTCCATCCATAACATCTCCCATCTAGTCCATCTAACCTTCTTCCTACTACTCTACTACCCTTAACATATTCAGAGAAATATTCAGATAACAGTATAACAGTTTTTATTATGTGAAGGCTACCTTGACACTGCCCAACAATAATTTACTAAATGTTGCCTAGCATCTGTGCTGAGAAATATCCTTTGATTGTTGCCTTATTTATAAGGAAGACAAAGGACCAAGGAGTCTACACCTATTGGTTTCTCTCTCTCTCTCTCACACACATACACATACACACACACACACACACACACACACACAAACTACATATGTAGCCAGGAACTTTTATTTAGAGATCATGCTCAGTACTGCCTATTAAAATGAACATGTCTATCAACATCAGAGCTAAGATTTTGCTACTATTTCCACGAATATATGACTTTGTCTTTTTTCTAAGTCATTAAAATTCCTTCAGAGCTAAATATTGGCAGAGTTTTCAATGCTTTTGGAAGAATGTAAAAGTGGGGCCAAACTCATACAAGCATTGCAGTTTCCTTCTTTCTCCCTGAAGAGAAAGGATTTAGGATTTGGTGTTATTTTGCTTAGTATGTATTAACTTTCTGACAGGTGAGTCCTCAGTTTGTTAGGAAAGTAATAACATTTTTCTTAGACCTCACACTATAGTCATATATTATCAATATTAAATAAGTATTGAATTTATATAACATTACTCAATAATATGTAGAAGACATTTTATGAATTCCTATTGTTCAATTAAGACTTACTTGAGGTTGCAAAGAAAAAGTTGTACAAAAGAGGATCTACATGATAAACCCAAACCAGATTGACTGGACTTTAAACATCAGAATCCCATAAAAGAATCTGTTTTACACAGTAATTTCTTACTCCTCTCAAAATCACACTGATAAATGGTCGGACACTACTCTATACAGTGTAACATGACCTCTGTTGGCAATGCCAACACTTCTGAACTGGAAGGAAAGGGGAAGCTATTGATCCTGTGTTCTGCTTTCATTGTTCAATATTATACCAACTTCTTAAGAATTTTTCTTTATAAGAAAAAGTTTTGTTAGAGTAAGCTTTATTTTTGCAACAGAGATTTTATTGCACAATGAACTGTATAGTGCACTTCTAAGATTGTGCTGGAATCCACTTTCCTACACTGGTGAACAAAACCAAAACTGTAGTCTTGGGTCATTTCATGAACGGTGGTGCCAGCTGCATGCCCTACCTCTCCCGCTGGGAAATACCACAAGCTTCCTGACAAGGAGATGAGACTCATTTTTTAAAAAATCCTAATATTTAAAATCTAAATAACAAATGGTAAACCAAGTAACAGTGTGACTTAGGGTTTCGAGCATTCAGTCAATCAGAACCGGCTTGGAATCCCAGAGTTATACTTGAACTGCGGGAAATTGGGGTCATTACTTAAACTGTCCTGGCCTCAGTTTTCTTACCTAAAAAGTGAGAGTGATTATGAGTTCTAAAGAAATAATTAATAATAATAATAATAATAATAATAATAGGAGTCTGACATTTATCAATAGGTTAGTATGAAAGGCCTCAATATTAGCACAATCCAAGCCTCTGGGTAAATTTAGGAAAAACCTTGCCTGGTGATAGAGGCTGTTCAGCTAGAAAAAAAGAATAATAATAATAACAATAATAATAATAATGTGTTTTCCTCTAGGTGGCCTCAGCTCCAGGCACAAGGCTGGCCACACTGAGTCCCTTCTCAGGCTTCTTGGAAGGCACTCCTGTGCATACAACCTGTACAGCTGTGTCAAACCCCTTTAATCCTCCAACAATGCTGTGCTGTAGGTGCTTTCATCCCATGTTTAAAACAAAGGGGAACAAAGGAAAGTCAGGTAATTTTCCCAGATTCACACAGCTCATAAGTGGTAACATCAGGGTGCCGAATCAGGTAGCTGGCTCTACAGTTCATGCATCCGCCCAGATTTCCATGCAGTCCCCAGGTATGTCTCAAATATAATTTTTTTCCTAAGGTGAAAGATTTCATAAATAAAAGGACTGATAAATATATACATTATTCATGTTTTCTATGTTATAGTTATTAGCATTGATCCATTATTGATTACTGGGTGGCTAATATATGCAAGGGATTGTGCCTTGAGAGTTGGTTTCTAAGCAGGTTGTGGATTTTCTATTACTGAACAATTGGCCATAGGCTTAATACTAGAACATCGATCTCATATTTTCAGGTCATATATGTCCTTAATGAGTGTTTTATTGAGCTCTTTTATTTTTCCAAATACAACAAGAGAGGCCCAAACATATTTTTCCCCAATTATAAGAAGGAAAACTTGACTCAAGTTGTCAGGCCATATTATATCATCAGTAATGTGTTAAAGCAGCGAAAGAGAGTCTGTCCTGGCAGTGTGTACATCCAGCCACCTAGCACAGAAGA